TCAGTATACCTGTCTGCATAACTATTCAGTATACGTGTCTACCTACAGATCTATCCACATAGTATTGAGGCCGTGTGAGTGTACGTATGTCAGTGGTACTGCGGCAGAAGCATCGAAGCTGTACATCGAGTCAATATCACAAACGATATTGCAAATTCGACCCGACGCCACTCGCGAACCGAACGCTGCACCCATCCGTATCGTCATCATTATCACTGAGGGGAGTTATCTTCGGAATGCTACATGTCTATACCATCGGTTCACTTTCTCGATGTATGCATTCGTTGTACGTTGTTGGTGCATGTTTTTGGCGCATGTTATTGGTCATAGTACCTGGAGCGCGCACTATAGGCATATGTTCTGGGTGCCAGTCGTCCTGCGCTTCATGTCTTCTCTCCATTCTGCAGTCAACCTGCACTGTAAGGATACGGGCAACCTTCCCAAGAGTAGCCTTGCATCCTTGCCTACTCTGTTCACCTGGCCACTTTCGTTGGCCAACCTCATTCGAAAACGTTCACATGGCCGTCCAAGGCCCTTGCATCCGTACCGCACCTCCTTATGACCGCTCGGGGTCGGTTGGGCCTGGCGCTCGCGTTGGATGCAGGGCTTCCAGGTGGGCCCTTCGCGAGATCGAGCAGCGCGCACTCGGCGGGCGGGGAGCCGTCCGCAGGAGGTCTGGGCTGCTCCTTCCGGTGGGAGGAGATGCGGAGGAGGTCCAGCGAGGAGGTCCACGATGCTTCCCCGAGCTGGAGGCCGGATGTCTCGAGCGAGAGGGGTCGACCACACCACCATGGAGACCCCCCTTGCTCCTCGCATCTCCTCGCCCTGGTGGTGTTGGTGTCGCCGTTCCTGGTTTCTATCCATCCTCCTCAAAGATTGCTGCCCCTGCCTGTGCTCGAGCCGCCGCACCAGGGCGCCCTCCAGAGGGGCATCGCCAACGTGTCGGGCTGGAACGAAACGGGCTGGGAGGTGTCGCCCGGAGAGGTCCGCGCCCGCACTCTTGATCCGAGGTGCGGCGATGAGGGGGACTAGCCGATCGTCGGCGTCGGCGTCGGCGTTTTCGTCTTTGTCGTCGTCGTCGTCAAAGTTTGGCGTCAGAGTCTTCGTCGCCGTCGTGGTCGTCGTCGTCGTCGTCGTCAAAGTTCTCGTTTTGGCCCTTCTCGGGCTTCTCGGTGGCCTCCAGAGGCCTTGCGGCCCTGCGTGGCCGCGGCGGCGTCGGCAGCTTCGGCATCATTGGATCCTTGCCAGCGCGCGCGTTCTCCTGGCGCAGCTTCTGCCCTCCCGTGGCGGCCGCGGGGGAGGAGGAGGACGAGGTCGAGGAGGAGGAGGAGGAGGAGGAGTAGGAGGAGGAGGAGGAGGAGGGGAGGAGGAGGGGGGTGGAGGTGGAGGAGGAGGAGGAGGAGGCAGAGGAGTGAGGAGGAGGAGGAGGAGGCGGAGGGAAGAGGAGGGGAGTGGGGCATGGTGGGCAGGAGGAGGAGGAAGAGGAGAAGGAGGAGGAGGGGCGGCAGGAGGAGAAGCAGGAATGGGAGGAGGAGGAGGAGGAGGAAGAGGAGGAGGAGGAGGGGGAGGGGGAGGAGGTGGATCGAAGAGGACGGGGAGCTTAAGGAGGTTCCTTCCGGGCCACGACACCGTCAGACATCGACGACGACCCATGATGAGTAGCCGGCCAGGATGGTTGCTGCGATGGGTCCATGGTCAGAGCTTCACGGGTTTTGGTTGAGAGTGGAGTGGGAGGAGGAGGAGGAGGAGGAGGAGGAGGAGGAGGAGGGCGGAGGAGATGACGGCGGAGCAGAAGGAGTTCAAGTTGATGATGAGGATGACAAGGATGTTTACGATGATGATACTGGTGCTGGTGTTGATGATGCTGCTGATGCCGATGATGCTGGTGACGATGATGATGATGATGATGATGATGTTGATGATGATGATAATGATGATGATGATGATGATAATGCTGGTGATGATGATGCTGATGAAGATGATGTTGCTGATGATGATGGTGATGCTGCTGATGATGTTGATGATGCGGATGGTGATGTCGCTGATTATGATGCTGCTGATGATGATTAGGATTATGCTGCTGCTGATGATGATGATGCTGCTCATGATGATGTTGCTGATGATGCTGCTGCTGATGAGGAGGAGGAGGATGAGGAGGAGGAACGCGACGATGATGACGTTGGCGATGATGGGGATGATCATGAGGAACATGAAGGTGACGGTTCTGGTCATGCTGATGACGATGTTGATGATGATTGTAATGGTGATGATGTTGATGACGACGACGACGACGACGACGATGATGATGATGATGATGATGATGATGATGATGATGATGACGATGATGATGATGATGATGATGATGATGATGTTGATGATGGTTGTGGTGGTGGTGACGACGACGATCACGATGATGGTGACGATGACGGTGGTGGTAGTGATGGTGGTGGTGGTGGCGGTTGTAGTGGTGATTTAATGACGTGTGTGTGTGTGTGTCTGTGTGTGTGTCTGTGTGTGTGTGTGTGTGTGTCTGTGTGTGTCTGTGTGTGTGTGTGTGTGTGTGTGTGTGTCTGGGGAAACCAGGGCAGACGCGATCGGGGTCTTACCCAATCGAAGCCAATCACTGGCTGAGCATGGACACTTACGCCCCCACAGGCCGATATCATGGACGGAGCCTGCCAATCTGTCTGGTGAGGGAGGGTGGGAAGGGGAGGAGGATGTGGAGGAGGAGGAGGAGGAGGAAAAGGAGTAGAGGAGGACGAGGAGGAGGAGGTGGTGGAGGAGGAGGAGGGGGAGGGGGCGGAGGAGGAAATGGAGGAAGAGGAGGAGGAGGAGGGCTCAAGTGCCATCTTGGCTCAGGCCAGTCAGGCTCAAGCGAGCTAGCCGCCTGCGCCGTGATGCCCCAGGGCTGAACCAGCAAAGACTGTGTTTACTTGAGCGTCGACGTAGAGATTGCAGTTCTGGCTTTCGGTGAAGGTCGCGTAATTTGCTACGGATGGGTATCGCTGGTGCACTTGTTGTGATTGGGCTCAGCTCTTCACCATGGTCATCCAGCCTGGTCTTAGAGCGCGCTGTTTTCATTGTGATCGACTGGCGCGTATTATTCATTGTTATCTTCTTCCCCAACGGCACGAGACAGACCGTGGGTTGGTGGTTGGATGGGTGGTTCCTCACCATGTATGACGTACTGAACTTGTGCCTGGTGCTGGCACAGACCCGGCTCTTGGATTCTCTGGAGGTGGAGTTGTGCTTCTGGTATTGTATGTGGTCGCAGCGTTGTCGGTGCCCGAGGGCTAAGTTTTATCCGGCTGACGTGTATAGCTTCCTGGTGCCAATCAGCAGCTCAGCTCCGCTGTCATGGGCTCCCAGTGTGTCGGTAGAGTTCTTTTTTAGGCTTGCCAGTGGCGAGTTGCTGCTTATCTTGAGCTCATCAGCGTGTGATCCATAATGATTCTACAGGAGGTTGTGGCCCTCTGATGTCAATGGCGTGGCATGCCGGTATGGTCAGCAGCGGCTCTGCATCAGCTGGCGCGTGGGCCTCGTCTTCTTCGTAGTTCTGCTGACGGGCAGCTGTCCAGCGGCTTGGCGGCATTGGCATGTGATGATATGTGGCAGGCGTGGCTGAGTGCCTGAGGGCGCAGCTTCCACGCATTCATGCCGTGGAGCCAGTTTGGTTGGGGTTCGGTTTCTTCGTGCACTGCTGCATGACCGTCGGTTCCTTGGAGCCTTGGGGGCTTGGGGGAGGTGTGGTCCGTTTGATTTAACTTTTCCAGATGGAAGAGGGATGATTGGTGGTAGGAGGAGGAGGAGGAGATGGAGGGGGAGGAGGAGGAAGAGGAGGAAGAGGAGGAGGAGCAGTGTAAACCCAAGGCCCATCAACAATGTTGGGAATTAACACTCTCAACGCTCCCTCTTCATAGGCCCTTCAAGGGTTGATTTCCTCTGAGGACAGTGCCTAGTTGGAAGGCAACGCTTGACGATCCTGAAGCGTGCCAAAACACCTTTCCCAGGACTCCAATTCCACTAATCAACCTGATTGTTGCATCTGGACGATCATTAATCGTTCCCTATCACCACTGTTGGGATTTCAACACCGCGAATGAATGTATTTGTTACGCCCTGGCAATCATGAACTGCTCAAAAAATCAACATGTCTGATACGTTCACCATGGGAATGTGTGAGACTCTGCAAGTGTCCAGACGAATGTGCGCGGCGCCAACGCAAAAACATCATTTCGAAAAGGAGCCGCCCTCAATCCGTAAAGCTGTAGCGAATTTCTAAAACGAATGCGCGCAGCGCGAAGACGAGAGCCACGAACACGAACCGCCCTTAACCCGTGAAATTCTTCCTATGTTCGACAACGCATGTGCGCGGCGCTCAGGCGAGAGCCGCATTTTGCAAGGAACCGCCTTCAATCCGCGAAACTCTTGCAGACTGTCACGACGCATGTGCGCTTCGCTTAAGCGAGAGTCACGTGTTGGAAACGGCCCGTCCTCTATCTGTGAATTTGTTGCAAGTTTCTCAGCTTCAGGATCACATTGTTCGACAGTCTCGGGCGACACAGCCTGCCCGCCCTTCGACTGGTTTTGGGGTGCGACAAGGCGGAGTTTTCAGAAGGGAAAGGATTGGAGGAGGAGGTCGAGGGAGAGGAGGAAGCATCCGCCACGGGAAGTAGAGGAACCCGTTCGGCAGGGGATGACAATCAGCTTAGAGCCCATTTACAGGGAGGGGGGACCCAAATCCCCTCTCCCCCGCCCTTTTCCCCCCTCCTTCCGCTTCTCCCCGCACCCTGTCCCCGTCCCCCCTCTCCCTCCTCTCTCCCCCTCCTTTCTCGCCCACCCCTGCCCCTCCCCTCTCCAGCCTCCTCCCCCCCCCCCCTACCCCTCCCTCTCCCCTCCTCCTCCCTCCCCCTTCCCCTTTCCCGCCTCCCCCTGCCCATCTCCCCCCTCCCCTCCCCCCTCTCGCGCGGCGCCGCCGTCCCGCCGAACCCCTGCGGTGCAGGTCCAGATCGAGCTGAAGCCCGGGTCAGGCAGCAGCAGCGCCCGTCGGCAGCGCGTAGGGACGCCGTCGTCGCGGTCGTCGTCGTCGTCGTCGTCGTCGTTGTTGTTGTCATGGTCATCGTCGACGTAGTCGTCGTCGTCGTCGTCGTCGTTGTTGTTGTTGTTGTTGTTGTTGTTGTTGTTGTTGTTGTTGTTGTTGTTGTTGTTGTTGTTGTTGTTGTCGTCGTCGTCGTCGTCGTCGTCGTCATCGTCGACGTCGTCGTCGTCGTTGTTCCATCCTCCATCTTCTTCGTGTTGTCCGGTTGCCTTCGTCAGTGCCCGCCGCCGCGCCGGCGCCGCACTCGGCCCCAACAGGAAGGCTGTGGCATGACATGTGGCACCTCCTGTCTCTGCTTCTCGAGGGGCTGTCTTCTTTAGGGCCCATCAGGGCCTTTGAGGCTGTCGCGTGCTTCTGGGGGACCGTCTCCTTCTCCCCCATCCTCCTCTGTATTCCTCTCCTTCCCCTCATTCCCTTCCTGCTTGTCCTGGGCCGTCTTCGGCCTCGTGGGCCTGCCTTGGGGTCCGGCTGTAGCACCTTGACATGGGACGGGCGACCTCGAGACCCTACATGTAACAGCTTCGACCCCCACCCCGCAGCCTCCTGCTTGGTTTCCGCAGTGGCTTCATTGCATTCTGAACCGGCTCGGTTTGATGTTCAGCAGGCCTCGTGTCCGTCGTTCTCAGTTGAACCTGGACGGTCCAGCAAGGCTTCCGAGCACCCTTCAGGAAGACCGAACAAAGACATCGTCGTCATCGTCGTCGTCCTCGTCGTCGTCCTCGTCGTCGTCCTCGTCGTCGTCCTCGTCGTCGTTCTCGTCGTCGTCGCTGTCGTCCTTTCCCTGCCGGTCTCCTCTGTCTGCTCCTGATCTTGCTGCAGCCAGTGCTGGATGGGCACATACGGTCGGACCGATGCATACGATCGAGGTCAGTTTGGGGAGGGTGCCCGAACGTTTGTCGTGTTTGTTGGATGTTATTGTGCATCCTGGGGGAGGGTACCATTGGCTGTTCTTCAGTTTGGCCGACGAAAGATTTCATGTTCTTGAGGAGTGTTCTTCTGTCCTAGGTCCAGCCGTAGCGCTTCTCTCCGTGGCTCCGCCCGCCATCCATTTGTCATCTGACGATGCAACTCCGCATCCCCTGTCTCCTCCTAGCCTGCGCTGCGTAACTGTCAAAGCTGTGGTAGAAAGGCTGCACTCGGAGTTCCCTTGTCTGCAGGGCAGCTGGCTCTTCACTCCGCATCCCCGCGCCCGCCGCCCTGCAGTTATCAGACCGGCGAAGTACTCGCACCTGAACGCGACCACCGTGGAGGGCACCCAGATCGTGGCCAAGGCATCGGACACCTTGCCTGAAGCGTCGCTGCCTGCCCTACCGCGCGCGCCGCGCGTGCGGTTGTGCCGGGTCCGCGCGCGCCGCGCGCAGTCCGACCAGCGCGGTTTCCATACTCCAGATTTCGTAATAAAGGGAGGGGGGTCTCTTCCAGGCTATCTTGGAGAGCCTGGGGGGGGTCTGGGGACGATGTTTTGGAGGGTTCTCCCACGGGGGAGGTCTGAAATGGCTTGTCTTGGAGGGTCCAGACCCCCTCCCTTTTATTACGAAATCTGGAGTACCCGCACGCCTTTCCTCTCTCACCCCTCCCGTGAGCCACCCGGAAGCTGGACACGCAGGGCGTGGCCAGCCTGGGCGAGGGCTGGATGGCGCACCTGGCCGCACGCCCTGGCAGCGCTCGGCCCTCGTGCTGCTGGGGACGCGGGCCTTCTGCAGCGCGCGACCAACGCATGTTCTTGTGTGTGCAAAGTCAGTGCCTTAATTTGGTCATCAACCTCGCCCTTTTCTTGGCGTGATCAACCAGAGAATTACCTTTCTCCTGGGCGATCGACCGCGGCAGATTCCTCCCGCACGAAAGGCACAAACATACACACAAGAAACACAAAGAAGCACCAGGCGGAGCATAAAAAAACACACACAAACAACACAACAACCACACAGACACACACACACACACAAAAATGACTAAATTATGACTCTGACTTTGCACACCTAAATGTTCCGCATGCATTCGAATCCAGCGGCGTGTGTTGTCCAGCTTCCCTGTAGCTGGCATTCTCACTGGTACGCCGCGCCGGCTTGACTTGGCCCGCCTGACCAGTTTTGGGGTTCAGCATGAGCGTGTTTGTTTTTCTTCTGTGGGCCAGAACGCGCGTTATTGCCCCCCCATAACGTAACCTTTCCACCCCGTTATTATGCGCATCTGGCAAGGCAATTGTGATGATCGCTGGCTGCGGTGGTGCCTGCAGGCTACTTTAACGTTTGTCGTCGTGTCCCAGGGCCTCGCAGGGCCTGCAGGCGCTTCTGCAGCCTCCGGAGAGCTTGCGACGCCTCGAAAAGTTTCTGTTGGCCTTCAGAGGCGGACGTCGTCGTTGTCGTCGTCGTTGTAGTCGTCGTCGTTGTCGTGCCCGTCCTCGTCCTCGTCGTCGTCGTCGATGCTGTCGTCTCCCTTGTTGCCCTCGTCGTCGTCGGCGTCGGCGGCGTCGTCGTGGTCGTCGTTTTAGTCGTCGTCATCGTCGTCATCGTCGTCATCGACCCCGTCCCCGTCCTCGTCCTCGTTCCTGTCGTCCTCGTCGTCTTCGTTCCCTCGTCCTCGTCGCGGTCGTCGTCGTCGTCGTCGTCGTCGTCGCCGAGGGCTTCGAAGGGCTTCCAGACGCCTCCAGAGGTCTGGTGGAGACCTCCTTAGGCATCAAGAGAACTCCAGAGACCTTCAGAGGCGGCCTTCGTCGTCGTCGTCATCGTCGTCGTCGTTGTTGTCGTCGTGGTCGCCGTCGTCGTCGTCTTTGTCGTCGTCGTTGTCGTCCTCGCCGTCGTCGTCGTCGTCGCCGCCGCCGTCGTCGTCGTCGTGTTCGTCATCGCCGTCGTCGTCGTCGTCCCCGTTCTCGTCCTCTTCATCGTCGTCGACATCGTCGTCTTCGTCGAGAGCCTTGAATAGCCGCCAGACCCCTCCAGAGGTTTCCCGAGAGCTCCTGAGGCCTCCAGAAGACTCCAGAGATTTTCAGAGCCGTCGTCGTCGTCGTTCTCGTTCTCGTCCCCGTCCTCGCCGCGTTCCTGTCGTCGTTCTCGTCCTTTTCCTCTTCGTCCTTGTCGTCGTCATAGGCGTCCTCTTTCTCGTCTTCGTTCTCGTCATCGTCGTCGTTGCTGAGGGCCTCGAAGGGCCTCCGGACGCCCCCAAAGGTCTCCAGGGACTTCCTTAGGCCTGCAGAGACCTCAGGAGAACCTCAGAGGCGGCTCTCTTCAGCGTCGTCGTTATGGTCCTCGTCGTCCTCTTCGTCGTTCTTCTCCTCGTCGTTGTCCTCGTCTTCGTCGTCTTCGTCCTCGTCCTCGTTCTCGTCGTCGTCGCCGTTGTCCTTGTGCCCATTCTCGTCCTCGTTGTCGTCGTCATTGTCGTCGTCGTCGTCGTCGTCGTCGTCCGGCGGCTCTTTGTCACCCTCGTCGTCCAGCAAACACGAGTACAGAATAATGCTCGAAGGAGGGTGTGGGAAAAAACCCTGCTGTGCACGATAGTGCACGTATGCATTGGGCCATACATAGGCGATGTGGTGCACGCGGCTGCAGCGGTGCATACTGTGCTGCGCACTGTGGTGCTTGCTGTGATGCGCGCAGGCACTGTGGTGCGGACACACATGGCGGGGGGATGGGGCGTCCTTCCTACAACGCCCGTTATGGCGTCCTCCTCAGCCTCTTGCTCCGCTGCCTCTGTACAATTCGGCAATCTGGGTACTAGTCTCCTCTTTCCACTGACTCCTTCTGGAGCCTGCTTGTTTTTAAGGTCTGGGCGATAACAGCCGTGATCGACCCTCTACCTTCCCCACCCCGGGATCACGTCACGCTGTGTTACCCACATTTGCAAAGATGTCCTGAGGATTCTTCGAGAATTTTTCCAGGATCCTACAGTGTTCCTAGGAGTTCGTCGTCGTCGTCGCTGTCGTCCGCGCCCAGCAGGTCGAAAACAAGGGGGTGCCTCTGGAGGAAGGGCCCCGATCTGGGCGCAGGGGCGGGGGGGAGAGAAAAGGAGACGGGGGAGGAGCGAGGAGGAGAAACGAGGAGGAGGAGGATGAGGAGGAGAAGGAGGAGAAGGAGGAGGAGGAGGAGGAGAGAGAGGATGATGATGTTGATGATGATGATGAGGAGGAGGAGGAGGAGGAGGAGGAGGAGGAGGTGGAAGTGGAGGAGGAGGAGGAGGAGGAGGAGGTGGAAGTGAGGAGGAGGAGGAGGAGGAGGAGGAGGAGGAGGAAGGGGATTGCCCATATTTTTACACTTTTTTTTCGTAGGCGATATTGGGGCATTCGGGGTAGCCGTAGGGCCCCTGGAAGCCTCCAGAGGTTTCTGGAGGCCTCAGGAGGCCAGCGTCGATGAGTCTACTGTTGATTAGTCGGCCCCCTTCACCTACCAAGCAGTCTTGTGGTCAATGTGGTGCTCTCTTGGGCGCTGTCGTGTTCGCAGGCCTTGGCGGTGCATGCAGGGGCGCTTCGGTGCTCACGGTGGCCCTCCGCCGTGATGTGATCCGGGGGGGGGGACGAACGCCCCCCCCCGATCACGCTGGTAATCGCAAATATGAACACGGCAGGCTCCTGGAAGATACCGGGCCCTCTTCGCGTGTTTTTTACACATGATGTCCATATTTGTTGTTCCCCATGTGTTTGTTATACTCCGATTGTTTTCGGTGTTTCGAAATTGTTACCCCGCTGCAGCGTGTGCTTCATTTTTGGTCCCGTCGTTCCGAATGGTGTTCTCGCCCCTGCGCGGCCACTTTTCTGGATCCGAGTACGTATTTCTGAATCGTTTTCGCCCCCCTCGTTTCCCATCCTCCGCCTTCGCCTGGTCCTGTTCCTCCCGCTCCTTCCTGCTGTTTGTCGTCGTCCTCTTCCTCCTGCCCATCCTCCTGCTAACCCGCCTCGTCCTTCTCCTTCAGTGCATGCAGCTCCCTTTACTCCGATTGCGCATAACCCGATGTGGTCTTTTGGCTGGAGGTGCAGGTCGGCTCTGACACGCATCCGCCGATGGAGATACAGCGCAATGGGAAGGTATGGGAGGGAGGGGTATGATGTCAGATGAGGCGCAAGCGCACCTAGCTTGTCCTCCTTACCTTCCCCTTCTCCTCCTCCTCCTCCTCCTCCTCCTCCTCCTCTTCCTTCTTACTCTCTCCTTATCATCCTTCTCCTCTCCTCGTCCTCCTCCTCGTCCTTCTCCTCCCCGTCTCCACACTCTTTCGACGACAGCGGCGGAACCAGCGACGACGGCGACGACGACGGCGCCGACGGCGCGCCCGCGCGGGGGCCGCGGAAGGTGCGCCCGCTGCAGCTCAGCGCGCAGCAGGTGTACGCGAAGCTGGCGGGAGGGGGGGAGGGGTGCGCTGTGCTGCCGCCTCCGAGGAGGGAGGCGTGGCTCGGCATCGCTCGGGCGCGTGCAGCTTCGAAGCCTCGGCGAGGGCCGTCGAGCTGCACCCCCAGATCATCCGGCAGCGGGAGAGCACGCGCGGAACAGACCAACCGATGCACGGGGAACGGACGCCCGACCGATGGCAAGGAGGGTGAGGGTCAGGAGGGGAAAAAACACAGAAGATATGGGAAAATATGGGAAAACATAGGAACATATGGGAATTAATGGTCGATTCCAAAGACAATATGGGAAAATATGGGAGGTGGGGGGGAAGACGAAAACCCAGAAAATATGGGAAAACATGGGGAATCGTTTTATTTGTGTGCATTTATTTGTGTGTGTGTGTCCTGGGGCCCCTTCAGAGGGGGGCGGGGCGAGACGGGACGAGGCGAGGCGCCGCAGTGCGCGCCGGGGCGCGGCACCACCGAGAGCGCCGCGGGGGGGGGGGGGCGTGGCCCCTCAGATGCCGACGGGAAGCACGTTCTCCTCCTCCTCCCCCTCCTCCCTCCTCCTCCTCCTCCTCCTCCTCCTCCTCCTCCTCCTCCTCCTCCTCCTCCTCCTCCTCCTCCTCCTCCTCCTCCTCCTCCTCCTCCTCCTCCTCCTCCTCCTCCTCCCCTCGGGGGCCAGGTCCCACGAGGTGAGCTGCGAGCTCGTCGCGCGCGGGTGGCCGCAGTGGACCCAGGGCGCCCTCGAGGGCGCGAGGTTCTTCGCGCGTCGCGGTTCGGCTCCGATTCCTCCTCGTCCTCCTCTTCTCCCCTGGGAGGCGGCGCGAGAGGTTGCGAAGTGATTCGCACTTCGCTCGGCGCGAAGCGCGAAGTTGGGAGCCCTTGTTGAACTCAGCCGGCTCGCCTCAGCTCTGCTTTGTCGACCGTTCGGGGCTTTTGGCTTTTGGGGGGGAGGAGGGGGGGGCAAGCGAAGGGGTAGGGGGGATGAGTCGGTGTGGGGAGGGGGAGGGTAAGCGCATGTTCCCGATCATGGAGCATCCCCGCCCCTTCCCGCCAGCCTCCTGATTATCTCCGGCCAAGACAGTTTTGCTCGGTGGTGGGGAGCGGCGGGTCCGAACTTCACTATCACCTTGGAAAGTACTTATCGCAGATAAATGTTTTTGCCGCGAGTAGCAGTATTCTCATAATCGTCAGCATCATCATTATCCTCACACGCCTCTCACGCGGTTCGTGGCCCCAGAGGGAGTTCCACGGAAGATTCCAGCGGCTGTGCCCGCATGTGTCCGCACCTTCCGTCGATTCCGAATTCCGTTCACTCCTCCTGCTCCTCGTCTTCCTCCTCTTTTACGCAGCGACCTGCAGGACCCCGACTTTCATCATCCCCACCATGTGTTTCTCGGCGGCATGGGTCTCGGATGGAGAGGATGGAGGGAGATGTGGAGGGAGGAGGGTGGAGGGCGGAGAATTTTCAGGAGCAGTCTGAGGAGGAGTGCAGGGGCGAGTATGGATCTGTCACTCCGATGAGTCAGGAGCCAGCGAATTGACTAGAGCTTGAACAGAGACGCACTACCTTGCTACAGGCCGTCTGTGGGCGATGAGGAGGGGCGACACAGAAATTGCTGAACTGAAGCTGACGAGGCCGCTCCAGCTCACTGGCGAGCTTGCCTTGCACGCTCGGTCCCCTTGCCATTTCGCTGCCCTTTTCATGCGCTCTGCGACTCCGCCTCGCACTCGCCCTGATCCCACCGCTGCAGCTGGTGACTTTGGGCTCGTCCTTCAACTTCGCCTTCGTGCCTGCTCTGGCGACGTCAGGCTGCGACTTCGCCTCAGATGTGCCCTGCCCCCCAACACAAGAGGTGCTGACATGGTGCTCCGTCTTCGCCTTCCGTCTCTCCAGGCAGCGGCAGAGCGCGCCGCTCCTCCCCGACCTCGCACGCGCTGGCATCGGCGCTACCATTGGCCACGTTGGGTTACGCTTTCGCCTCCGGATTACCCTGACCCCAACGCTGCAGCTGATGACTTCGGGCACGTTCTTCACCGTCCTCTCGACCCCGAAGGCACCCGCAGTGATCATAATTGGTATGGCGTGTGGCTCCAGCGTCGCCTCCCTCATCTCGCGGCGTGGCGACACTCATGTCTGCCACCGCTTGCCATTCTCTCACGACTTCGGGCTCAATCTTCGCCTGTCTGCACGGGTAGCTCTCATCGCTGCTGCTCACCGTGGCCCTCCCGCACGCTTCTCACAGCACCAGCTCCCGCTCCTGCTGCTACTGCTTTCCCTCGTTCTCGCACGGGCGGCTCCCAGCGCTGCTGATCGTGGCCCATCCGCATGTCTCTCGCAGTGCCAGCGCCTGCTGCCACTGCTCGCCGCCTGGCACGGGCAGATCCCCACGCTGTAGCTGATCATGACCCTTTGCTCGCGTTGACAGCGCCAGCTGCCACTACCCGCTCTTCTCGCGGTGCGCGCCCGGAGGCTCGCAGCGGCGCCCGGGTGGCCGGCGCTGTCGGAGAAGGGGTCCAGAGTTCTGGGGAACCGTATGGGAAGACAGAGAAGCACGGTGTCGGAGGCCGTGGCATCTTCTCAGACCCGTGCGTGCTCGGCCTCCTGTCGCCAGCGCCCTGCATTTTTCTCCAGCATCCACCCCCTCCTGCTGCCTGGCCTCCCCCCTCCCTCCCCGCCCTTCGCTTCCCCTCCTCCTCGGGGCGCCCTCCCTTCCACCCCCTCCTGCTGCCTGGCCTCCCCCCTTCCTCCCCGCCCTTCGCCTCCCCTCCTGCTCGGGGCGCCCTCCCTCCCCCTCCCCCCCTCCCTGCCGCCTCCCTGTTTATGGTGACGGGCTACCTTCGCCCGCCCTGGAGCCGAAATTCGAACTTTCCGGCTGGTCGGCCGGGCCTGTCGCAGTATCCCTGTTTATGGAGACGGGCTACCTTCCAGGAATTCGATTTCAGTAATCGTCTCGAGTACGCTGACCTCAGCCATACCGCCGTTCGACGACGACCCCGCCCCCTGGGCGCCGCCAGGCCGGGCACAAGGGCCTGCAGGCCCACGTGGACACGGTCGTGGACGGGGTGGCCGGCCTCAGCGAGGCGGCGGCCTCGCGCGCCCGTGCGGCGCTCCTCTCCCGCTTCGGCTCCCCCGTGCTCCCTGCTCGCGGCTCCCCGTCCCGCCGGTCCTCCTTCAGGGGAGAAAAAGATACGGATACGTGTTGTCCCCCTTCGTTTTCGGCCTTTCCTGGTCCTCCTGGGGAATCCTCGTTGTCACCGCTGGATTCGCCTCGAAATCCTGGTCAGAACGCACCCCAAGAGAGGTCCAGGGACAACACGTATCCGTATCTTTCCGCCCCCCAATTCCTCGCGCCTGCTCCGGCATGTCGTGTTGCTCCTCCTTCTGCGCCTGCATGTCGTGTTGCCGCTCTCGCTCCTGCTCCTCCCGTAGCCGCGGAGCTCCTCCTCTCCCGAGGGTTCCTCCCGGCGCTGCTCCTGGCTCTATTCCGTTCGGCTCCTCCTGCTTCTGACCCTGCTCATCATCCTCGCCCTGCTCCAGCCCTCGGTGGTTCAAAGATGGGGTCCTGCGGGACGGGGGCCTGAAGACGAGGTGCCTCGCTCAACGCAAATCCACCCCCGGATCCCTCCCTGCCCTCGGACCCCCGGCCCTCAGGACCCATCCTGGAACCACCGAAGCTCAGGGCGCCTGCTCCTCCTGCCCGTCGAGGCAGCCTCTGGACGGGTTCGCGGCCTGCGGCCCCTCCGGGGCCTGGTTCAGTCGGGCCTGTCCCTCTACAGGAGGAATATTCGAGCATAGTCAAAAAATGAGATGGGGATATTTTTCGAGTATTTGTTGATCCATGTTTGAACATGTTTCTGCTATTTTTGAATTCTTCCGCGAGAATCGGCCCGTAGGGGGACAGGCCCGAATTAAGCTTGTTTTTTGTTGTATTACGGGGGTGGTGGGGGGGGGGGGGGGCGAGGCCCTGGGTTTCTCCAGGGCCTCCTGGGCAGGGCTCGTTTCGATTCCACCGATTCGATTCGTTTCGATGTCGATGGCTTCCGATTCGACTTCGACTTCGGCTTCGATTCGACTTAGACTCGATTCCATTTCGATTTCGGGTTCGACTTCGGGGTCCGATTTGGGATCCGATTTCTCAATGGAGTCCTACTAGTCTGCCGATGTCTGCCGATTCGACTTTTCCCTTGCTCGGCTGCCGATTTCCGTCCATCCGATTCATGTCTATTGTCGATCCGATTTCATGCTTCGATTCTGGGCTCTCCTGCCTGGGCCTGGCTGGTCTTGGGCTGTGCTCTGACCTCCAGGCGCACTGTTGTGGAGGTCGGCCCTTCGCAGATCCGCTTGCATCTTGGCATCGCTCGGACGTGTGCAGTTTTCCTCGGCGAGGACCATCGAGGAGCATCCCGGATCATCTTGCGAAGAATAAGCACGAAAAGCCCGACATGCGCAGGAAATGGACGTCCGAGCGATGGCAAGGCATCCCCTCCTCTCGTCCGACCCCGGCTTTTGGGATTCGTGTGTGGCCGACCACCTCTGCCCCGCCTTCCGCAGACCCAGGTGTTGAAACTATCTCGTGACGACGACGACGACGACGACGACGACGACGACGACGACGACGACGACGACGACGACGACGACGACGACATGTGTTCCCCAGCGTTGGGCTGTTCTGGGCCTTGGGGGAGCCGTCTGAGGGGCGTCTCGCTCGATGGGAGCCTTGGGGGCCGCGCGGGGCCTCCGGGTCATGTTCTGACGGGAGGGCCCGGGGAGCACATCGTTGCGGTGCCACAGTGTTGGTTAGGGACCCCGAGGCCCGTTGGAGCCCTCGTGGACACCTGCTTGGGCCGAACGGCTGCTTGTGCCCCCTCTGGGCGCTCTTGAGTTCTCTCTGCGCCAGCGGCCGGTCCGCAGGCCTGCCTCAGCGAGGCCAGCGGCAAGTGCCGCGGCCAGGTGGCTGTGACCGACCTGCACGTGCCCTACTACTCCTGGGAGGCGCCTGCCCCTGCACTCCTCACATCTCCATCCTCTGCCTCCGTCGTCTTCCTCCCCCCCTCCATCCCTGGGCCCTTCTCCGCCTCGTCCCCCTCCTGCCTTTCCCCCCCCTCCTTCCCCCTTCCCCTCCCCCCCGCGCTGCCCCTCCCCCTCACCCCGCCGTTCCTCTCCCCCCGCTCCTGATTGTCTTCCCTCCCACTCCCTTCCTCTCCCCCTTCCGGCTCACCCTCCTTGATGCTCCTTCCGTCTCCTCCGCCCCCACATTACCCCCCGTCCCCCCCCGCCCCTTCACCTTCCCCTCCCCCCCTCCCACCACCTTCTCTCCGCCCCCCCTCTATCCCCCTTTTTCTCCCCCCACCTTGCCCTCCATTCCCCTTCACTTACTTTCCGCTCCGTTCCCCCCACCTCTTCAGCCCCCCCGCACTACCCACCACCTCCTCGCTCCCCGGATTCTGGCCGAACGAGGCGCCGCCTTTACCGTTGATTGTGTTTGGTTCTATAAAGGGATCTCAACATGTTGTATGCCCAATGCTGATGTTGGTGATGATGTTGGTAGTGATGGTGCCGATCATCGTGACGATAAGATGATGATCGGGCAGAGGGACGATGAGAGGGCGTGCGATGTGATGGAGTGTGACAGCCGCCATTGACATGTTTTGCAATGTTCGTGTGGTGCGGCATTACAGTGATGCAGTGGGCAGGGGTCTAAATCAGACCCACCGCCCCGAATCGCAAGGAACTGCATGGCTTGAGGAGAAGCGCGGCTTAGAAGAATACAGCGGCGGAAGCGTGTGGAGCGAGGACGAGGGTCCCCCGGAGGTCTTTGGGAGACGGGCCCTCGGAGGTCTCCAGAGACTACCCGAGACCTCGGAGGCCCAAGCCCGAAGCAGGCCCAAACACCATCGACGACCTCAGGCCTCGGTCCGGGAAGATGCGGGCCCGGCAGCGCTAAACATGCTGGGCATTTTTCTACAGGGTCCCAGAAAGTTTGGGGAGGGGGGCGAGGGGGGGCCATAGTTCAGCCCGCCCGCCTCCGCCACCGCCCCCTTGCTGTAGCTGATGGCGACAGGCTGCTTGAAGGCCTAGACGCCCTCGGCCCAAGGCCGAGACAAGTAGTAAAGAGTCTAGGGCTTGAAACAAGCTGCCCTGGCGGAGCAGCCTTGTGGCCACTCTGGGGCTGAATCCACTGTGAAGCCTCGGCAGGGCAGCTCGCAGCCGAGGAGGAGACCGCCTCCGCCCCCTCCCGCCAGGGGCGCTCGGCCTATCTGCTCCCGCTGCGGCTCCGCCGCCATCGTCATCGTCCTCGTCGCTCGTCGCTCGTCGTTCGCCGTTCGCCATCCGCTTTTCGCCGATCTCCCATCGTTCGTCGTTCGTTCGTCGTGCGTCGTCGGTGTCCTCGGTTCATCGTAGTCGGTCGACGTGCGTCGCTCGTCTTCCGTCGTCGTCGGTAGCATCTCTCGTCGTTCGATGTTCCTCGCCGTCGCTCGTCGTCGTCGTTAGTTGTCTGTCCTTCGTCGGTTGTTCGTCGTCGCTCGTCGTTCCTCATCGTTTTTCAATCGCTTGTCGATGTCGTGCGTCGTCATCCGCCGTCCGCCGTTTGTTGTTTGCCGTCCACGTCGTCGTTGCCGCAACCGCGCCCAGCCCAGCCCTTCGCCGGGCCAGCCAGGCGAGCCGTCCGCCCCCCCGCCGGAGCCCAGGGGAGAGGGAAAGGGCGAGGCCGTCTCGGGGGCAGCGTCAGTCTGAGGGGGTTGAAGCCACACCAACACCACCCGGGGGACCACCTTCAGCGAAGAGGTCCACGATGCCCTCCAGAGCAGGAGGCTGAGGACGTCTCGAGCGAGAGGGGGGACCACGCCACCGGGGAGACCGCCACTGCTCCTCGCACCTCCTCGCCCTGGCGGTGTTGGTGCCGCCTTCCATTGTTCCCAGTCAGGGGAGGACTAGGCTCGGGGTGCGATGCATCGACTCTCAGTCGTGCATCCATCGCCGCTCGGGGCCCGATGGGGCCCACACCGCCTCGCACCGAGCGCCGTCGAGGGTCTGTCCCCGATGTCCCGGCGGTGCATCGCTGCCGCCAGGCCGATGTTCCCTCCCCTGGGGCCAGCTCCCCCCCTCCTCGGGTGCGGCCAGGGATGACCAGGGGGGAGAGGGGTGAACCTCACGGCGAGGGCCACGATGCCCTCCCGGATCTCACGGCCCCGGCTCTTCTCTCGGTGCCTTCCGGGCCCCCTCCCCCCTCTGTCCGCGCGCATGCCTCGGGCCGTGATCTGCGAGCCGCCCTCGTGGACGCCACCGCCCCCCCCCAGGCCAGCCCCTGACCTTATGTCGGGCGTGTCCCCCTACAGGGGGATTCGGGGCGGAAAGATCGAGAGCACTCCAAAACTATTCCAACATTATCAGAAATGCTCCCAAACACCGTCCACGGATTATATTTTGACTACACTTTGGAATATTCCTCCTGTACAGGGACAAGCCCGACTTAGTCCTGACCTCTGTCGCGGAGGTTGCCCCTGACGTCGTCCCTCGGGATGCGAGGGGAGAGGGCCGAGGAGGAGGAGGAGGAGGATGAGGATGATGAGGAGGAGGAGGTGGAGGAGGAGGAAGAGGAAGGGGAGGAGGAGGAGGAGGAGGAGGAGGAGGAGGAGGAGGAGGAGGAGGAGGAGGAGGAGGAGGAGGAGGAGGAGCCATGCGTCCGGCGGCTCGACACGCAGAGATCTTGACGGCGGGCTTCTCGCCATTCTGGGCCTGCGGACACGGGGCCTTTCCGTTTTGGGCACGACCGAGCGCTGGCTCGGGATGCAGGCTTCGGCACCGGGAAGGGCGAGGCCCGTGCTCCTCTTCCAGGAAAATCGGGCGTTCGGTAATGGGGGGCGATAAATTGGGGAGGCGTCGAGGGTTGCACGAAAGGGGCCCTAAGGGGGCCGTAAACGAGCCCCCTAGGGCCCCGAAGGGGTACGAAGGGTGCACGAAAGGTGAACCTTTCCTACCCCCCATCTATCACTCCCTATTAGTGAACGCCCGAGAAAAATTCAGCCGTCCGGTTACAGGGGAGGATCGATGTCTGTGGATTTTCGCTCACGCGGGGGAAGGCATCTTCCTCCTGATCTGGAGCACGATCTGCCTCCAGAGATTCCAGCGCTCCTTGGGCCTGTTGGACGGGCGAGTTGAATCTGTCAACGGGGTCTAATTAGATGGTTGTCGGGCGGGCTGGGTTTGGGGGGCAGCAGAATTGTTCCTCACTGACTCTCGGATGTTTACAGGACCAAGATTGTACACTTGGCCATCGAACTGGCCCAGGGTATATCTCGCCGGTGTGACCGACGTATATTGCCACACCTCGGCTGACTCATATTCCCTACGTGGCATAGACACCATCTCGTGGACAACCAATTGGAAGGTCTCTGGAACTCGTTTAATTTATGTGGTCAATATCTTTAACAGTTTCCGTCGTGTTTGTTCTCACTTGCCGTTTGTTTGCCTCCTCGCTTTTGGCCCACAGCGCTGGCTTTTCGGGGCTTCTGCTCCTCATCGGTACGGCCGGTTGTTGGTATTCGGGCGCCTCGTGGGTGCCCCCTCGTGGGCGCCCCGCGCGCTGGCGGGAGGGGGCGTGCCGAGGCTGCGCCGCGTGGGCGCCTCGTGGGCGCCCCGTCCGCCGGGGGGGGGTCTGCCGAGGCTGCGCCGCATATGGCCGCCCGTGCCGCCTCCCAGGCGCGCCCGTGGGCTCTTGCGGAGCTGGCACGGCGCAGCTGTGACCACACGGCTTACACCACGCGGCCTGCACCAGGTGCCCTGTATGCATGGGTTCCACGGCGTAGCTCGCATCGAACAGCTTGCGCCCCATACCATCCACCTCCGGTTCACACCGCATTGGCTCACACCGCCTAGCACGGCGCGTGCTACACTGCATAGCTTACACCGCATAGTGTTCACCTCCTCAGCTCACACCACATATCTGACACGACAGATTCCACCACATGGCTTACACCATACGGCTTACATCTCCACGGTGCAGCAACGCACTGTTTGGGGTCCACGCTGGCCAACCTATTAGCTCTTCGATGCGCGTCCTGGGAGCAAACTTCACCATAATCCCGATCGGAACCGACAGGGGAGACGCGCGCGTTTGAGCCGGGGCCTCTCAGTGGTGCGCGGTCTTTCGAGCACCGCCGCGCTGCGCGGTGCCCAAGGGTGGCGCCAGCGGTCTTCGGTGCCCCGCCACATCCTGCCCATCCTTCCCACCGCCTCTGGGAAGACTGCGCGGGGGGGGTCTGCTTGGAACACTGCGCGCTTCTGCGTCCCAGGGATGGCATGTCTCGACGAAAGGGCGTGCAGCAACCTTCGAAGGATTGCAAAAAAAACGAAGGATTGCAACGAAGGATTGCAAAACAACTTTCGTTTTAACAAAGGATGTTTTGCAAACCTTCGTTTTAACGAAGGTTTTTTTTGCAATCCGTCGTTTTTTGCAATCCTTCGATCTTCCTGGGCGCGCTCATCTCGTCTTCCTCGCCGCCCCGGTGGCCGTCGCGCCGTTGCCGGCCTCGTCGTCGCCGTCGCCTCTCGGGAGACTCTTGGGCCTGGTGGGGGGTTGTTCTTGGGCTGTCTTGTGGGCCGTTTGGGCTGTATTGGAGCCCTCTTGAGGGCCTCCTGGGCTGTTTATGGTCGGACTTGGAGGCCTGTTGGACCGTGTCGGGTGGTCGGAAGCTAGTAAATGCGAGAACGCGAAAATGTATCAAAGCACATTAGCAAATTATATGTTGTCGAATTGGCGGGTTCTCTTTGGCCTTCCTCTTGGAGTCCTCTTGGGTCGTCGATGGGATCTCTTGGGCCGTCTTGAGACATCCGGGGACGTTTTGGAGTGCGCTCGGACCGTCGCGGGCACTCCTCTTTGACCCGAGTTGCTGGGGAAGGACCACCCTTGCCGGAACGTGATCCGAAAGCGGAGGGGGCAGGGACCGTGCTCTGATTCAGGACCCCCCCCCAGAGTCGGAGGGAGGAGAAGCGACACAAACACCACCAGGGGGCCCACCTCCAGCGAGGAGGTCCACGATGCCTCCCCGAGCTGGAGGCTGGGGATGTCTCGAGCGAGAGGGGGGAACCACACCACCAGCGAGACCCCCCTTGCCTCCTCGCACCTCCTCGCCCTGGTGGTGTTGGTGTCGCCGCTCCTGGTTCTTATGTTTCAAGTTCATGACGACCTCGATTACGACCTGGCTCGATGTGGGCAGCCCTCTGGAGCCAAAGGTGACCATTGGGATTAAGTCGGGCCTGTTCCTCTACCGGAGGAAGTTTCACAGATAGTTTAAAGAATAGCATTGGGATGATTTCATAACCATGTTTGCTTGTTTATGAACATGCTTGGACTATTTTTTATTTCTCGCCCCAAAATCTTCCTGTAGGGGGACATGCCCGACCTAAGTCTGGGACCACTGGGAAGAGAGTCACATTTCGAGCGGCAGGTGCCTCCCAGGACCGCTGCGGGACGAGGAGCCCAGCACTTCCCTTGACGCACGCCGACAAGGACGGCCGATGTCTCAATTCTCGAGCGGGGGGTCGACTGCAGATTTAACCCCAGACTTGATTTTCTCGTCGAGTCATGCGTCGAATGTCCGCAGATCTGCGAACATTCCACTCGATTCCCATGGGGTCGGCGGACAAATCAATCCTGGGATAGCTCACATCTGCAGTCAATGCCCCACTCGAAATTCGCGGCACCAGAGGTCCCGACCGCTTCTCTGGGGTAGTGTTCGTTCGCCCCGGACTCGTTTCTGAGAGCGCCCGGGGGCCGAAACTGGCTGCCGAGAGCCGGCATCTCGGAACGACGTCGGGACTTGAGAATCACATCTCCGGAGATCTGGGCCGTCTCTCTCCTTCCTCCGGCCTCCCTCCTCCCCTCCCTCCAGCCTTCCCCCTTCCGCGCCCTCTCTTGGCATTTGCTCTCTCGGGATCAGTGCCGTCTTCGACGCCCGACTGTGCGAATAGAGAGGGCTCTGCGCAAGGCGATGCATGAGAGGGAGGGGCAGGATGCCAGAGAAGGCGCGATCCCTGTTGTTTGAAAATTGTTTACGCTTCGCGGATCCCCACCAGCCCATTCGGGAGCCCTGCCCATGAGGGCTGACGGAAAAAGGAGAGAAGAGACACATCTAGTGAAACAGAGAGTGCAAGGAGAGGAGAGGCAGGAGGGTGTTGATCCGTCTTGGAGGCTACCTTAGAGCATCGGAGGCCTTCTTGGAGCTACAGGGCTGTATTGGGGTCCTCTTGGATCTCTTTTGGGGCATCTTGGGGCCCTCTTGGGGGTCTTTGCGGGGTCTTGGGGTTCTCTTGGGGCTCTTTTGGGGCGACTTGGAGCCCTCATGGGGCCTTCTTGGGGCTCTCTTTGGGCCCTCCTGGAAGCTATGGAGCGCCTCCTGGGGCCATCTTGGAGACCATCGATCACAGGAGGGGTGCTCCTCGATTTCCCTCCCCCCTCTGGGGCCATCGAAATAACCTCTTGGGGCGCTCTTTGGGCCCTCTAGGGGCGATCTTGGGCACTCTTGGGGCAGTCTTGGGGGCCTCTTGGGCCCTTCTTGGAGCTCTATTGTGCCATCTTATGGCCAGCTTGAGGCATCAAAAACGCAACGGAAGCAACAAGGCGAGAAGGCCCACATCAGTGATTTCGCGCCGGTGTTTGATTGATTTTGGCTTCTGGCTTGAGCCCGAATCACCTGGAACCGTCTTGTGGCCCTGGCCTCTTAGAGGCATGTTGTTAGCTATCTTGAGCCATGTTGGGCTATCTTGAGCGATCTTGGAGGCTATCTTGGGCTCTCTGAGGCCCTCTTGGAACCATCTTGGGCAAACAAAGACCCTCTGACAAATCGCGGCCCCCCCTGTCCAGGTCCAGGGGAGGGGTCGGGGGACGGGGTACGGGGAGGGGTCAGGACGCCCGCCCCGCCTGCAAGCCGTCTCGCTCACTCCCACCCGCCCTCCCAACACATACGTAGCACCCGAGCTTGGTCCGAGCCGCAGCATCTTCAGCAGTCGTTGTTGGATGGGCAGCTACTGGGGGCGAATCCGCCGCCGCCGCCGCCGCCGCCACCCGCCGCCGCCGCGCCGCCGCTGCCGCCGCCGCTGTCCGCCGCCGCCGCCGCCGCCGCCCCTGCTGCCGAATCGCCGCCGCCGCAGCCGCTGCCGCCGCAGCCGCTGCCGCCACCGCTGCCGCCGCCGCCGCGCCGTCGCCGCCGCCGCCGCCGCCGCCGCAGGGTGTATGTTAATAGGAAACAGTGATCAAGACACCCTCCAGATAGCAAGCCGTTTAACTCACTTCCACCCGCCCTCCCAACACATATGTGGCACCCGAGCCTCAGCATGTTCCGTGGTCGTCTTTTGATGGGCAGTTACTGGGAACCAAAACCGACCCCATGTGCGCGACGCTGGGGCGAGGTGCGCCACGCGTGCCAGGCGCGCCCCTGGGGCCCGAGCGTGCCAGGCACGCCTCGTGCGCCAGATGCTCCCTCCAGCTTCGCCAGGTGCGCCACGTCCGGGGCACGTGCAGAGTGTGACAGGTGTGCCTGCGCACGTGACAGCAGACATCGGGAAACATGTCGGCCGCCACCATCCATGTCGAAAATCCATGCTCATCACTGCCCCCGCCGCCCCTGACAACAATCCTGGCGAAGGACCCAACCATAAGAAATTGTCCGTAACGCGTTGTGGGTGCCTCTTTCGGTGGGGTTCCCTATTGGGCCACGAAACGCTGCCTTGGGTGGGGGAACCGCATGCGAACTGCGCCACTGGGGCGGGCCTTCGGTGGAACTCCATATGGGGCCACGAAGCGCTGCCCTGGTTAGGGGGAACCGCATGCGAACTGCGCCACTGGGGCCTTCGGTGGAGCTCCCTATGGGGCCACGAAGCGCCGCCCTGGGTGGGGGAACCGCATGCGAACTGCGCCACACGGGCCTTCGGTGGAGGTCCCTATGGGGCTACGAAACGCTGCCCTGGGTGGGGGGACGGAATGCGAACTGCGCCACTGGGGCCTTCGGTGGAGCTCCCCATGGGGCCACGAAACGCTGCCCTGGTTGGGGGAACCGCATGCGAACTGCGCCACTGGGGCCTTCGTGGACCGCCCTTTGGGGCCACGAAGCGCTGCCCTGGGTGGGGGATCGCATGCGAGAGCAGCCACTGGGGCCTTCGGTGGAGCTCCCTATAGGGGCCACGAAGCGCTGCCCTGGGTGGGGGAACCGCGTGCGAACTGCGCCACTGGGGCCTTCGGTGGAGCTCCCTATGGGGCCACGAAGCGCTGCCCTGGGTGGGGGGACCGCATGCGAGAGCAGCCACTGGGGCCTTCGGTGAGGCTCCGTATAGGGCCACGAAACGCTGCCCTGGGTGGGGGGACCGCATGCGAAAGCAACCGCTGGGGCCTTCGGTGGAGCTCCCTATGGGGCCACGAAGCGCTGCCCTGGGTGGGGGAACCGCATGCGAGAGCAGCCACGGGGGCCTTCGGTGGAGGTCCCTATGGGGCAACGAAGCGCTGCCCTAGGTGGGGGGACCGCATGCGAGAGCAGCCCCAATGGGGCCTTCGGTGGAGCTCCCTATAGGGCGACGCAACGGTGCCCTGGGTGGAGGAATCGCATGCGAACACCGCCGGCGAGACGTTCGGTGGAGTTCCCTATGGGGCCACGAAGCGCTGCCCTGGGTAAAGGAACCGCGTGCGAGAGCAGCCAATGGGGCCATCGGCGGAGCTCCCTATGGGGCCAAGCAACGCTGCCCTGGGTGGGGGAACCGCGCGCGAACTGCGCCACTGGTGGGGCCTTCGGTGGAGCCCCCCATGGGGCCACGAAGCGCTGCCCTGAGTGGGGGAACCGCATGCGAACTGCGCCACTGGGGCCTTCGGTGAGGCTCCGTATAGGGCCACGAAACGCTGCCCTGGGTGGGGGAACCGCATGCGAACACCCCCACTGGGGCCTTCGGTGGAGCTCCCTATGGGGCCACGAAGCGCTGCCCTGGGTGGGGGAACCGCATGCGAACTGCGCCACTGGGGCCTTCGGTGAGGCTCCGTATAGGGCCACGAAACGCTGCCCTGGGTGGGGGAACTGCATGCGAACACCCCCACTGGGGCCTTCGGTGGAGCTCCCTATGGGGCCACGAAGCGCTGCCCTGGGTGGGGGAACCGCATGCGAACTGCGGATGGTCTCCCGTGCCACTGGGGCCTTTCGGTGGAGCTCCCTATGGGGCCACGAAACGTTGCCCTGGGTGGGGGAACCGCATGCGAACACCCCCACCGGGGCCTTCGGCGAGGCTCCATATAGGGACACGAAACGCTGCCTTGGCTGGGGGAACCGCATGCGAACACCCCCAGTGGGGTCTTCGGTGGAGGTCCCTATGGGGCCACGACGCGCTGCCCTGAGTGGGGGAACCGCATGCGAGCACCCCCACTGGGGCCTTCGGTGAGGCTCCGTATAGGGCCACGAAACGCTGCCCTGGGTGGGGGAACCGCATGCGAACACCCCCACTGGGGCCTTCGGTGGAGCTCCATTAGGCCACGAAGCGCTGCCCTGGGTGGGGGAACAGCATGCGAACACCCCCACTGGGGCCTTCGGTGGAGCTCCCTATGGGGCTACGAAGCGTGTGAGAGGTGTGCCGAGAGCAGAGGCAAGGAGGGGGAGGAGGGATGAGGAGGAGGGAGGATCGGGATGAGGAAGGAACGCGGGGCGCTGTCTCTTCAAAACGAGGACCCAACACCACAGGATGGTTGGGATAAACCACTTGACAGTGATCGCGGGGTGGCCGCGCACTATCCACATGTAGCCGCGAGGTGTATTTTGTATGGTGTGTTTGTCAGGGATGGTCGCCCTGCGCGAAGCAGGCAATATGCTGACACCCCCGCCGTCCCTGTCGAACAACAAAATACAAAGTGCCCGCGGGCCTCACGAACATGACTCCAGACTTCGCCCAGACGTGTACCGTGTGTTGTTTTTTGACAGGGATGGGTGGGGGGGCCGCATCGGGTTGGTTGCGCATGCTCCGAAGTGCGTTCTGCATAGTTTTTTGACAGGGATGGTGGGGGGGGTCCCTCATGGTGTGCGCATGATTCCGGGTTGGGTGCCGGCTGGGTGGGGGAGGGGGTGTTTATTAATAGGGAACAGTGATAGCCCTTCCCGAAGGGGAAAAGGTTTTTTTGGAAGAGGGAAGAAAGATCTCGTTAGACCACCTGCGTCCAGAGGGCTGGTTGGATTGAGCAATCTGCATACTACTCTCCCTCCTCCCTTGAAGTTGTCCGGAAGTTTTCCCGTCCCCTCCGAGCGATTTTTGTTTTGTTCCACTGGATTTCAAACATTGTTTTTCCGTATGGATGTTTACAATCCGATTGTTTTCGGTATTTCAAAAATTGTACTCCCGCTGCAGTGCGGGCCTCTTGTTCGGATCGGCGGTTTGCTCCCGTCGCTCAGAATGACGCGCTCGTCCCAACGCGGGCAACTTTTCTGGATCCGAGTCTTGCTTCATTGTGGTCATCCCCTCATTCCCTTCTCCGCCTTCCCCTGTTCCTCCATTTCCTCCCGATCCTTCTACTTCAATTCTTTTTGCTGCTGTTCGTCTCGGCCCAGCGCGCACAACTTTTCTGAATCCGAGTCGTTCTTCATCGTTGTCTCCCTCATCAAATCCCCTCCTCCACCTTCCCCTGGTCCTCCTTTTCTCCCGATCCGTCCGCTCTAGTTCCTGCTGATGTTGTTGGTCCTCATCCTTTCCCTCCCGCTCGTCCTCCTGCTCACCCACAACAAGTTGTGCACGCAGCTAACACGCGCATATCACGAAGTGGTCTTTCTGTGTGAGTCGAAGGTCGGCTATGACACGCGTCCGCGGATAGATAAAATCAGCACCATAGGAAGGGGTTGGAGGGAGGGATCGGATGTCAGATGAGGCGCGAGCGCACTAGATTGCCGTCCCCTCTCTCCCTCTCCCCTCCTCCGCTCCCCCCCGTTTTCTCGCTTCTGTGCGTTGGGCCGCCTGGAGCTCAGGGCTGGGCCTCCCTTCGCTGGCAAGGGTGGCAATAGCTACAAGTGTACCCCCCCATGGCTTCTCGGGGTGAGACCCTTTAGAAAGACGGCGCGAAGACGGCTGCAATGCCGACTCTCGGATGCAACTCCAGGGAGGCAACTTCTGGCTTTGCCCTGGTCCGAAATCCGGCTCAATGCCGCTTAATCCGGCTTAGCCCCGCTTGATCTGGCCTGATCCCGCATAATCTGCGGCCTACTGTGGCGTAGTAGCCATCCTAATGGGTTCAATCCTCCTTAAAATGCATCCGACGAAGACCTTCCAGTAGTTGTCGGACGGGTCTAGGACGAGGATCAATCAATCCGTTCCAGAGTGTTCCGGAACGCTCTCCGAGCGTTCGGGAATGTTCGGGAACGCTCTGAGGAGGCCGCGGAGCCTGAGACATTATTCTCGATTGATCTTCACCCGATTTTATCTTCGTCCTGGCTTCGTCTTAAAATCCTCGTTAATCCTTATGACGTAGCTGCCTCGACCGACCTCCTTCCGCCGCCACCCCCGGCAGTCGCCGCCCAGCCCGAGCCCGCGACCGTCGGGGTCCAGAAGAGCGGCACCCCGGCTGCGACAGGTCCCCCCCCCCGCTCCCTGGGGGTGTGGAGGCGTCTGGGGAGTGCAGCCAGCGCTGGGGCAGGTGGGGCCGTGGACACGCTAACGGCGGCGTAGGTAACGACGATCGATTTTATGTTTCGGTACTGTGAGAACGCGTGGCTCGTGCTTTTCTGTATTTCGCTTCGTCGTTTTCATTCGGTACATTCGCGTTTGGAGAGTGCGGCGCTTTGGGCAGCAGGGGGACGAGGGCGAGGAAACATTGGAATCGACTACTTGTACGAGTGACCTTTGGCCAGAGTGACCTTCGGTGCGGGCCCAATGGGGCCCCCCCATCGCGGAAATTCGTCGCGTGCGAGGCGATAGCCGCGGCTTGCGCGCATGTGTTTGGCCCCCCAGCGGCCCCCGCTAAGCCGCGCACAAAATCTCACTCTTACCCAGGGTCAATCTCGCGTGCAGTCGAATTGGGAGTGTTCAGAGGAGGACCTCGTCGCCATGGCCAGATTCGCCTCGAGATCCTGGTCAGAGTGCGCCCCAGGGTTGGTCCGGTAAGTGGAAGCATTGGTAGCGTGTTCCCCCAAGGAGGAGGGGGACGAGAGGACGAGGAAAAGGGGGCCGTGTGAATGAGAAGGAGGACGATGAGTAGCAGAAAAGCGGGATGAGCTGGATGAGCAGGGCGTAGATTGGCAGAGGAAGAGGAGGAGGAAACGTGTTTCGCATCTTCGGCTTCCCCTCGGTCCGCTTCCTTCTCCCTCCCTTCCCTCTCCCGCCTCCCCCCTCTCACTCCCTCCGCCGCCCCTTCCTCCCTCCTTTACCGTCCTCCCACCTCCTCGTCCATCTCCTTGACCATCCCGTCGGCGCGGGGAGAAGAGAGGAAGTGGCGAAGAAATTGCATGACACGGATGATAAGGGATACAAGGGCATGAAAGGAATACAATGTTTGTTAAAAGGGGCGAGGGGTAATACTGATGACGATGAGGATCATCGTGATGTTGCTGACGATGAACCATGGCGACGATTGCGATGCTGACGATGATGCTGATGCTGATGCTGATGCTGATTATGATGCTGCTGATGATGATGACGATGATGATGATGACGAGTATGATGCTGCTGATGATGATGATGATGTTGATGTTGATGGTGACGATGATGCTGATGATAATGAGTATTGTGATGACGCTGATGATGATGATGATGACGATGTCGATGAAGATGATGCTGATGACGATGATCATGATAATGACGTTGATGCTGATGATGCAGATGACGGTGACGATGATGATGCTGGAGGTGATGATGATGATGATGATGATGATGATGATGATAATGATGATGATGATGATTATGATGCTGATTATGATGATGATGATGATGATGATGATGATGCTGACGACGATTATGATGCTGGTGATGATGATGATGCTGCTGATGATGATGTGTAGTCTGTTTTTGGTGGTGATGCCGCTGATGATGATGATGCTGATGATGATGATGATGATGATGATGATGATGATACTGATGATACTGATGATGCTGATGATGCTGATGATGCTGATGATGAACAGGCTGATGATGTAGATGATGATGATGCTGATGTGGATGATGGTTATCATGGTGATGGTGAAGTTGATGGTCTTGGTGATGGCGATGGCGATGGTGATGGTGATGGTGACGATGCTGCTGATGACGAGGATGGTGGGTGGCGATGACGATGGCGATGATGACGACGATACAGGTGCTGATGACGACGAGTATCATGAGGATGATGTTGATGCTGCGATGGTGATGGTGATTATGAGTACGATAATCATATCACTGATGGTGCTGCTGGTCATGATGAGGAGGAGGAGTTGATGGGAGTGGCGGTGGTGGTGGTGATGATGATGGTGATGATGATGGTGATGATGTTGGTGAGTAGGATGATGTGAGGATGAACGCGGTGGTGGACGATCAGACGATCATGGATTACGGATGTGCGAATCATGATTGGACGATCAGACGATCATGGATGACGGAGTATGGAGGCGGAGGCGACAGATGGAGAGGGATGTGAGGGATGCCGAGCGGGAGGCCGGAGACTGTAGAGAGGGGTGACCAGTGTTCGGAGCGGACTAGTCGAAGACGAGGCAACGACATGACCATGACGACGCACCGCGTGGATTTCTTGGATCGGAGCTGGGGCCCCCTCTGGCGGCGCCGCCTCTGGCTCTAAGAAGCGCCTGCGACGACGAAGACGGACGTCGGACGACGTACGACGGACGACGGCGTCGCGGCCTACACCGACGCCCACGCCCACGCCGACGACGACGCCGACGCCGACGCCACCGCCGCCGCCGCCAACGCCGACGCCGTCGCAGACGCAGAGGCCGACGACGACGATGACGACGACGATGACGACGGCAACGATGACGACAACGAGGACAGACAACGACGACGACGGGGACGATGGACGTCGGACGACGGACGTCGGGCGACGACGACGGACGAGGACGCCGCCGCAGCCGATGCGGAAACCGACTTCGACGCAGACGCAGACGACGTCGACGACGACGACGACGTCGGAGACGGACGACGCCGACGACGGACGACGGAGGAGGGAGGACGGACGTCGGACGACGGACGACAGACGACCACGACGCCGCCGCCGTCGACGCCGACGCCGACGCCCACGCCGACGCAGACACAGACGCCGCCGACGCCACCGCCGACGCCGACGTAGACGCAGACGCAGACGACGACTACGACGACGACGACGATGACGCCAACGCCGCTGCCGATGCAGACGCAGACGGCGACGACGCCGACGACGCCGACGCCGACGACGACGACGCCGCGACGCCGGCGACGACGGCGGACGACGGACGTCGGTCGACGGACGACGCACGACGCACGACTTGCCAATGCCGCCGCCGCCGCCGATGCCGACGCTGGCGCTGCCGCGCCCCGAGGCGCTGCCCTGCCGCTCCTGGCGCTGGTGGGCGTATTCCTCGCCGCGGCGTGACCGCCGCGCTTCTGGCCGCGCTTCGGCCGCGGGCGGGCCGCCGGCCACAGGGCGTCGGACGGGGTGCTCGGCGGGGGAGGGGCGCTCCCTGTGGAGGCCCGGGCCGCGGCGCGCGCCCCCTCCTCCTCCTCCTCGTCCTCCTCCTCCTCCTCCTCCTCCTCCTCGTCCTCCTCCTCCTCCTCCTCCGCCTCCTCCTCCTCCGCCTCGTCCTCCTCCTCCTCTGCCTGGGTGGCTTCGCTGCGGGCGCCGCAGATCTTGCCCTGGGCCGCGGAGGCCCGCCCGCGACTGCCCCCAGCGCCACGGCCCGCGCGCGCTCCCCAGGCTGGCACCGCCGATTGAGGCGGCGGCGTGCAGCGGCGCGGCAGCGCCTGCGCCGAGAGCGCGACGTTCAGATCCTCGAGCACCACCATGGCAGCAGCGCCCCGATGGGTTGGAGGCGCTATGAACCTTGGCGTGGTGGTGGTGGTGGTGGTTGGCAGTGTTATCCAGGTCCCAGCAGGACCAGGAGTGCAAAGCCTACGAATTCCGCATACAACGTCTGTTCAGCATGTGGGCATTGGGAGTTCACAAGGTAGGGGCACAAACATTGCAGCAAGTGCCAAGCCCCCTACCGCAGCGCCGTCCAGCCATCTTCCAAGCCTGCAGCTGGTGTGGCTCCGGTTCAAGACCAGGGCGGTGGCATGTCCGCAGAGCTGGTTGCACAGCTCCAGATGTGGTCCGCACGTTTCCCCGCCTTGGCTGACGTCTTGCAGGAGGTGGCTTCATCGCCAACCCCACCAGCCACCGTGGACCTGTCCCCCATGGAGCTGGCCAAACTATGCAGAGAACTTGGCGCAGCAGACGGACCTGGCCAAAGTATGCAAGAACGCGGCCACAGCGGAGGGATTGTCGTATCAAGATGTACAACGGAAGTTGGAGCGCCCCAGTAAGACTCGGAATTTGCTGGCCGAGCATGAGGTCGCTGACAAAGATGCCATGGCCGACTTGCAGCGCGCCGCGGAGGCGAAGGCGGCAGCAGATCAGGCCAAGAATCTGTTCGACCCCAATGCATTCAAGGTGCAGAAGCAGCAGGAGGTGGCTGCGCAGCGGGCAGCGGCGGAGGAGGTTGCCCGCGCGGCTCGCGCGGCGGCCCAGGCCGCGGCCCCACCGCGGCGCCGGCCCCAGGCCAGGCGGCCCAGGTGGGCGGCCCTCCTCCTGCTGGTGCCGCTGCTGGTGGCGAGCGTGGCGCTGCGCGTCCTGAAGCCCCTGATGCTCGCGGGGCGCCCCCGCAGTTACCGCCCAACATCAGGTGCTGCGTCGTCAGCCGAGCCACCGACTACAACTACCTCGGTTCCTACCTGCGCAAGTTCGATGATGGTCAGCTGGAGTCCTTGGCGTCATGTGCTACAGTATTTCTTGAGCAATGGGAGAAGCTCCGCGCGCGCATCCAGCGGCGTGATCAGGCGAAGTCAGGTGAAATCGGCATGGGCGCTGCGAGCGAAGGCAGCGAGGCGGGATGCCCGCTGGAGCGGGAGGAGCTCGCCGACCTCAAGGAGCATGCTGCTGAAGGTAGACTCGATGCAGTTCAGGCCCAGAGGTGCCAGACATTGCTCACGTCCCTGGCGGAGAGTAGGACTGCTATGCGTGCTCGCCGTACTGAGGTTCAGCCCGATGAGATGTTCAGAGCGTTTCGCACAGCTGTCTCTCACAGCCCGGCGCCAGGTTCCGCGGCAGGCAGTGGCCAGCAGCAGCATTGACAGGGGCCGAGCCCCACAATGGGCGGCGGATGCACGTGTCCGTGTCTCATTGAAGTATGCGAATATAACCAGGTGGCCCAAGTTGGCCCAGGATCTCTTAGCCACTAAGGTTGCTGAGGTTGATCGGGGTCTTCCTGGCAGAATACCGCCTCAGTGTGATGCAGATCTTTTCCGTGCGTAGAAGCTCTGCAGGCAGTTGCGTTGGCCCCCCTACTTCAGAGCGCTGAGCCCTCTCCTGGTGGCGCATCTCATGGTGGAGTCTGTGCAGATTGTTCGCCTGGCCTCTGTACTCGGAAATTGTTGATGCTTACGGCCCTTGGGGAAAACCGCGCAAGGGGCGCTCCCTGCGGAGGCCCGGGCCGCAGCGCGCGCTCCCCCGCCTCGGGGGCGGCCGAGACGGGGGTGACGACTACGGATGGCGGGGGCCGTGGTGCTCCCCCGGACGTCCTGACGCTTCTTCCTGTCCAGTGCGTCCCGCCCCTCCCCCCCCTCCTCCTCGCACCTCCTCCTCCTCGCACCTCCTCGCACCTCCTCCACCTCCTCCTCCTCCTCCTCCTCCTCCTCCTCCTCCTCCTCCTCCTCCTCCCCTTCCTCGGGTCGGTTACTGCCCTGGGCCACTGCGTCCCGCCGCCCCCCCCCCCTGGGCTGCGCGGCGCGGCACTGGCCATGACTTGCGCCCGCCCTCTTGAGCGGCCCGGAGCCGCCCCCCAAGGAGGGCGCGGCGCGGCGCGCGTGCCGGGTCTCCGACGATTCTATAGGCTTACGCCACATCCGCCGACCCCTTGTTTTTTTGTGGAGGAGGAGGAGAAGAAGGAGGAGGAGGAGGAGGCGAGGCGGGGAGGGTGAGGCGGAGTGGAGGACGCGAAATCGATAATTGAAGGTGGGGTCGGGGGCCTCTTGGGAGCTCCGGGAGCGGAGATGGTTCGTGGAGCGGGGAGGGGCGACGAGGAGGTGGATATCACGGCTGGGGCCGTGAGATCTTCCCAGATCTCATCGCTCTCACCCCTTTTGCTGTCTTTACCGTTCCCCTAGCCCCTTCTCGGCCGCGCACGCGCCTCGGGCCCTGATCTGCGAACTCTCCTCTTGGACGCTCCCCTCCTGGAACAGACCTGAGTCGGCGCGGCCGCGGCGACGGCCGAGCCCGGCCGCGTGGAGCGGGAGGGGGTGTGGCGACGCGGCTGGGTGCGCCGCCGACTGCGCGGGAAGCGCCATCGGATCGGCAGCGGGTGGCGGTGGAAACGCGGCCGGGGAGAAAGGAAAGGAGAAAGATCCATCGGGGAGCGTCGGAGACGGCGCCCCCCCAGCGGACGCAATGCAGCAGGCGTTCTACAATGTCGGCGTAGACGCGGCGTCGAAAGATCCCCGACGGACCCGAGAAGTCCTCGTGGCAGCTGCTGCAGCCAGTGTACGGCGTCACCCAACCGTGCCCGCGGATCCAGACGACCCCGCGCAACCATGGTCGCAAGCCCTGGCGGAGGACATGGCCGTGGAGTTGCCAGTCGTGCACTGTGCGTTCGTGGGATGTGCGTGGCGGTCGGAGGTAGTAGGCGAGTTGTGCGGGCACGTCCGCGAGGTGCACGGTTCCGTCGTGCTGCCCATCGCCGAACTTGTTCATCCAGCGGACGAGGACGAGGACCTCCGTATCACGGCGGCGTACAATGCAATCGTTGCACGTGCTGTTCGGGGTGGTGCGCCGCTAGCGGCATACTCCTTGCACAGACGGAGCCTGGCCATGTACGCGAAAGCAACGCAACAGAAGAGCATCGCGTCTCCAATTTGTTTTCTGTGCGCCTGCACGTTTCCTTGGGTGGAAGGTAGACGGGGGAACCAGATTGCCTGGGAGCAACCGTTTAAGGCAGCCGTGGGCGACCCGACGCGGGTGGTTCGGTTTGGTGATTGGACCATGAAGGAAGTGCAAGCGCGGTTCAGCATCGACGCGTACCTGCGGGACTACTGTCACGAGCCAGGGAACAGCGCATTGGACCTCGAGGAGGCGTGGTATCGGGAAGACTTCACGGACTGGCTTGTGAAAGTGCCGACACCGTGCGGTGAAGTGTTAATTCTGCGTTGCCCCGAAGATCAGCGGTGCCACAGGGGGTGCCAGGAGAAGGGAACCGCGTGTCCCGAATGCGAAGTGCCTCTTTGCGAGGAATGCAAGGTAGAGGTGGAAACGCCGTATCGGCGGCGAGTTGCCGCGACCCCGGCGGTCCCGCGCCGGAGCCTTGCGAACGACTTGATGGCGTTCTATGCGCCAGATCGCATGTACACCGAGGGCATGACGGTGATGGAGATGATTTGTTGCAGCCCTTGCATTACGTCGATGATTTGTTTTTCGCTGGAGGTGAAGTACCAGAACGACCGGGAAAGCAGTGCGGGCAGAGAGAACCTGTTTGACAGCACGGCAGGGTTCCACAGCGGGCGTCTGGCGGCGCGCGGGAATGCTACGAGCTTCTTGCTGCCGTGGCAGGGGATATTACGAGAGCTCCGTCAGCTCGAGAAGGAAGGGCGCCAGGGCGGCGACTCGGCGGTGCCAATCGTGGGTGAGAAATTGGGGTCGGTGGTGCAGATCCTTCTGAAAGTCAACGACGCCACGAGCAAGGACAACCTGCCGCGTTTCATTCATCAGGCAAATGTACGGCGCGAGGTTGTGAAGCGCCACATCAAGATGATGAAGCACCGCGGGCACCGAGCTTTCGCCAATGTCAACGTGGAGGCGATGGAGAGAAAGGCCGATCAATTGCCGCAGGACGGCGTGCCTCCGGAGATTGTCCGGCTGCTTCCGCACGACACCACGTTGGACAAGCTTATGGTGCAGAAGAACGCGACGCCCTGTGATGGGGCGCGAGATTCGGTGGGAGCGGCTGCGCGCGACATGGACTTGCGTACGCCGAATGCCGTCATGATGGAGAAGTCGTCGGTGGACGAGGTGGATGCAAACAGATTGAGGCAGGGTGCGTTTGAACATGTGTCGGGCAGGCCGCGCGCCGCAAACGCGGTCGTGCAGACTGGCGCATTGGCAATGGAAGCGAAAAGCTTCGCGCTGCGTCTGGCAAGTACGTGGACAGGCAGGTGCGACAGACCCGAGTGCCCGTGCGGTGGAGACAGGGACGAGCGTGCTCTTGCGAGGACGAGCAGAATGGGAGACAAGGCGGCCAACGTGGATACGGAGACATTGCAATTTCGGCTTTGGGAGATGCTGGAAACAGACGCGACCCGCATTCGGTACGTGGTGTATCCGGGCCGTGCGATGATGAATCAGTTTGTGCCGTGGTTTTTCGGCGTGGCATTCCCGTTTTGTTTCAAGTACGGGGTGGGCATGCCGGACATGCCTGAGTGGCAGGAGAATGCGCGACATCGACGTGGCCCAGCGGCGCCCCGCGTGGAGCTGGCTCTGTGGGCGCGCATCATGACGCGTCGGGTGGAGTCTCAATTCCGGCGCGAGTGGCGGTTTGGTTTTACGGTGTCGTCGGTTTTGTTTCAAAGTTCCGTGAATATGGCCCGATCCGTCCGCTTGGCGGACTATAGAAAGGACGGGGAGACGGAATGCCAGTATTCGCAAGGCGAACTCGAGAAGGCAGCCGTGAGCATCGTAGATGCTTTGTATGGTACGTACAAGGATCCGTCAACCGGGAAATCCTCCAACGTGCGCGGAGATTTCTCGAAGCTGAAATATGTGAAGTCGCTCGACCCGATAGCGAAACGATTGGCTGCAGGAGCCAGCGCGGTCGCTCGCAAGATCGAAGGGACCAACGAGGTGCGGACGCTCATGAGGTACGACACCCATGCTGCTCGAATCGCCCACGGGGTACCGTTGTTTTTCACCATGTCCCCAGACGAGAGGCACAACCTGGTAATGGTGCGGCTGTCGCGGTCTCGAAGAAAGGACCCCGTGAATCGTAGTGCTGCGCGGGAACTGCACGGCCCCACGCATGGCGGGTTGTGGGAGCCGTCGCTGGCGCACAAGGATGAAATATCTGGACATGCCGTGACGAGAGATCGGCGCGGGCGGGCGGGGGAGGGCGGATCGGGCACAGAGGGGGCAGAGGGTGATGACGACATTGACATGGCAGTGCCTCTGGCGATGTTGGCAGATGCCGTTCCCGCGTCGGACGAGAGAAGAGCAGTGCTGGCTCGGGGCCCGCTGGCGGGCGTCGACGGGTTTCGGGTAATCGTGGGCCTTGTGTTTGAGTACATATTGGGCATGCGGTATTGTCCGAGGTGCCCAGATTGCGAGTGCGCGGATTTGCTTGGCAGCAACGCGACGGCGGTGGGTGGGTGCTTGGGTCGCGTGGACGGGGTGTACGGCAGCATTGAAGCTCAGAAGTCGGCTGGAAGTCTGCATTTGCACGTGCAAGTATTCGTTCAGTGTTTGCACCAGCATACCCCGTTGCACGAACTGCTACAGCTGCCGACAGATGTGCTAGAGGGGCTGGTAGAAGAATACAAGAGGTACAAGAGGAACGCGAGTCGTCAGGAGTACGCTGACGTAGAAGGTTGGAGGGGCAGGAAAACGGAGGTGGAGAAGGCGTGGCCCACGTACCGCGAGACCGCGGATCTGGTCGCAGCGCCGGAGTACTTACACAGCGGCCAGACTAATGGTTCGGGAGGGTCGGAAGGAGGCGGTAGGAAATCAACGAGCGGCAATGGGGTAACAGAAGATGGGGACAAGGGAATTGAGGAAGGGCGAACCTGGCTGCGAGAGTACCTCGGTGTCTGGGTGCAAAAGGGGCAGGAGTTTCGACAGAACCACGTGCACCAGTGGAGTAAGCGTTTGCAGCGCGTGGTACCGTTGGCACATTGTCAGAGGACAGACGACATGACGCAGTGCAAAAGCTTTTTCCCGCGCACGACGTGGCTCGTAGATCGCGCAGTAGTGTTGTGCCAAGGTTTTTTTGAAAAACCGCGATATGCCGCGAGCAGGGAGGAGGAACATGACAGGGTGCTTGCACGGGCCCATGAACGAAGAGAACCTGAACGGAACGCTGCCAGCGATGCTAAGCGGCGCGGTGGGGTTGAATTTTAACAGCGATTTGCAGATCCCGTACAGGTTCCCAGTGACGGAAGCGACGCACGACAGTTGTGTGTGCGAAGAGCGGTGCTGGGAGACGGATCGACCCGTAGACATGGTTCTGGCAGCGCAACGAGCGCAGAATGCAGCAGCGGGGTACGCGGCGGACTATCAGTGCAAGCGGTGTGCCCCGTCGTTCAACGAGGTGAGGGAGATCAAAAAGGGCCACCACGCGCTGGCGGAGCAGACGAAGGACAGGACCGCGGCGTACCGAGCGAACAGGCACATGAAGAGGTTTCTCAGTGACATGTACGGGAGAGGCGTGGTGCGGTCAGCGCAGGAGAGTGCGAATCTGCGAGCGTACCGAGACCCTAGAGACGTGACTGGTGCCGAGAGTATCAAGACTGCGAAGACAGCTATGATCCCGGGAGCAGAAGCCGTACGAATGGCGGAGCAGATCTGTGCAGACGGCGTCGACGTTGCCGTGTCGGCGTCGGGGATTCTGGAAGCGGACAAACGCGAAGGGTCGAAAAAGGTTCGAATTGTGTCTAAGAGTCCAGTGTACCTGTATGGCATGCGGCCGGTGGACGCTCCTGGTGCGCCCGACTTGGCACACCTATCGTTGTATGAGTTCCTGCGGTATTGGCGCATCGAGTTGGCTGCATTTCCCCGTACCGGAGCAGAGGTAGCAGCTGCGGCCAGCAACGATTACCAAGCGCAACTGACGCAATCCGGAATTCAGAAGGTTCGCGATGCCGACCAGGAGAGAGCGAATCCCGACGCGGATGGGGCACGGCCGGGAGCCCAGCTGAAAGCCGGAGTGGATTATGTGATAAAGGACGAATGGGGTGGTTATTCCTGGGTGCCGTTTCCGGATGTTCCGGAACTGAAAACCTTGAGACACACGTGGGTGTTGGTGCGGAACGAGCGCCCGAGGAACCCAAGTTTTCATGGGGCGCCGCAGCCGAAACACGGAACGGGGGAGGAGGAAAGAAACGGGCTCTTGTTGATGGTATATTTCAGGGCGTTTACACTTCTTGACGATGTCGATTGTGGAGTACCGCACCTGCGCGATTTCCGCGGAGCGCAAGGGTCGTGGGCGGAGGCCTCGTTAGAGTGGTTAAAGAACGGCATGCCATGTGAAGAAACTAAGAGGTACGTGCAGAACTACATGGGCGTGGTGGACTTGCGACCAGTGACGGACGAAGATCTAGTCAAGCACGAGGACGAGCTGTACAGCGACGAAGAACTGGATCCGAGAATTGTCGACGCGGCGACCAGGCGTAAGACGCACGTGGGGGGCACGTCCATGGAGAAAGAGGACAGGCGGACAAATGTAGACGCGGAGTGCGAAAAGGAGAAGAGCCGGGAGGCCATGGCCAGGGGCGACGCCGTGTGGGGCGAGATTCCGAGTCGAAAGAGTGGAAAGCGCAAGAAGCGCGGAGGGGACGGCGTGTTGAGGTGGGATGACGCGGCAGTGCGGAAAGCGCAAGCGGTGGCGGCGGCGTCGAGGGCCGCAGAAGGCAGCGGCGCGGGCGGAGAGGAAGGTGCCCCAGAGGTGGTGGCGGCCAAGAAAGCAACGGCGTCAAGCGTGCGGAAGTGGAGAAAAGGGCTTGCGGATAGCGGGTTAAACGCGGGACAGCGTAGCGTCGTGGAGAAGGTGGCAGATCGAGTGTTGGCGCAAGAATTCGGGAGGACCGCGAGCGGCAAGAAAACAGACCAGAGTCTTTCTGATATGCAGCCCCTCGTATGGATGTTGCATGGTGGCCCAGGGACCGGGAAAAGCTTCGTCGTAGACAAGATCCGGAAGGGGCTGTTCGAAAAGGAGCTGGGGTGGACGCACGGCATAGATTTCCAGGTGGCAGCGTTGCAGGCCACAAACGCGTCAGCACTCGACGGGAATACGATTCACAGTGCATTTGGGCTCGGTGTGAACAAAACGAAAGAGAAAAAGGACGCGGCGGGCGATGCCAGCGCAGAGACGAAGAAGAAAACGAAGAAAGAGCAAGCGGCGCAGCGTATGTCACAGTGGAAGTGGCTGATTGTAGACGAGGTGAGCATGGTCAGCGCGAACTTCATGGCAGAGCTTGACTCACACTTGCGGTCGTGCATGTCAGCTGCAAGCGACACGAGGGTAGGTGGAGACGGCGTGGCCAGGCCGTTCGGGGGCGTGAATGTGCTGTTCTGCGGGGACTTCTATCAATTGGAGCCGCCATCGGGGACGGCCATCAATGCGCTTCCCACGTCGTATTTGAAAAACGCGAGGCAGTACGCGCCAGGTGCCACGGAGGACCACGGGCAGTATATCTTTTGGGGCGCTGGAGGCGAAGGAGCAGTGCAGGGCATGACAGAGTTGACGGAGTGCAAGCGCGTGGAGGATCAAGACGACTGGTTTCTCGGAGTGCAGGACGAGTTCCGCCGAGGGGCGTTGTCTGAACGCACGCACAATTTTTTACATGGCAGACCGACGGAGGTGCCGGGGTCGTGGGTGAACGGTGCACCGTTGTGCGGGAACACGCGTTGTCTCGAAGACATAGAGGCAATTGCGAGGCAAAACGAGCTCGAATGTGACGCTTGCAAAGCTGAGCGGGAAAAGAGAAAGCTCGTTGCGACATCGCCAGAAGACGCGCGGTTTCGGGAGGAGAAATTCCTTGATGCTGTCGCCATTTATGCGAACCAAGACATTCGTTGCCACGTGGGGAAGCAGAGAGCTGTGCAATGGGCAACGCAGCGAGGAGAACAGCTGCTGTGGGTCGCAGCGAGGGACCGCCCTTGCCATGGGGGAGAACAGCGGCGGCCGTACACGGTGGAGGATAAGATACGTTGGCTGGGGTACCACGAGAAGGAGTGCGCAAGCTTGCCTGGGTGGCTGCCGCTGGCCAAAGGGATGCCCGTGGCTCTGGGGGATCACTTGGATCGGTCGAAGAAACAGCTCCTGCGGGGGCGTACAGCCACGATCCATGGATGGGTCCTGCACAAGGACGAGGTCGTGGGAGATGAAGACGAGGAGGTCTTGTCGCATATGCCGAAAATGATTGTGTTGGATTTCAATACGAAGGAGTGGCACCTGCCCGGGTGGGAGCCGGGGCTGTATCCGATCTTCCCCTCGAATGGTCGGCAATGGTTCTTGGATGGGTATCGGAAGCACCCTGTGTTGAGTGTGAAACGCACCCAGTTTATGATAACCCCGGCTTTGGCAGTAACGGCGCACTCCGCGCAGGGCCGGACCATGGGAGCAGTGATAGCGGACCTTGAAAGAGGGCGCGGCGTGAGTTGGATGTCAAGTTACGTTGCCATCACTCGCGTGCGCAGACGGGAGAATCTGCTGATTTTCCGGCCGTTTGACAGGAGGCCGTACAACGCAGGTGAGATGCCAGGCACGAAGAAACTTTTGCAGGTACTACGAGGGGAGAGCGTGGATTGGGATGAGTGGGAGGCGGAGTTGATGCCAAGAGACCAGTGCGAGCGCTGCCGGCGGAGGTTGCTGGTAGAGGCGTTCTCGAAGTACGAGTTCCAGAGGAAGGAAAGGCCAGCGTTCTGCAAAGAGTGCACGGAAGAGATGAAGAACGCCGACGAGAAATGGTGCACCACGTGCAGAGGGTGGGCAACGAGAGCGGAGGGTGAAGATGCGACGCGGCACGGTGACGATCGGAGTGGGGGTGCAGCGGCCGGCGGCGGGGAGCCAAGAAGGGTTCGGACAATGTATTGCGCGAAGTGCAGCCATGTCAAAGCCAAGCAGAAGTCGCGGAGCGGCAACGCGAAGTGGGTCGAGTGCGTCGGCAAGGTGCGATGTACGAACGGTAAGTGCCTGTCGCTGTATGACGCAAAGGCGGATATGTCGGAGGCTCAGAAGAAGCAGAACGCAGCGGGCCAGAGGTTGTGTCGGAAATGCGCCGCCGAACGTCAGAGGACGACGCTAGTGTCGAATAACAGGAAACGCGCGATCACATTGCGGTGTTCGAACAGCGACTGCCTGTCGGAGTTCCAAGAGGAGGCGGGGGTGTCCGAAGCTCAGAAGAAGCACAAAGCAGCAGGGGAGAGGTTGTGTCGGAAATGCGCGGAAGAACGAGATAGGGCGACGCGCGAGTCGAATAATAAGAAACGGAAAGCCGAGGCGGACGCGAAGCCGCTGACGTGCGCGGCGCGCGGAGGAACGTTCTCGGACACGAGACATTTGACGCCTAACCAAGTGGAACATCATCGAAAGACGAAAGGAGCCAAAGTGGTGTGCGGAGGCTGCAAGGAACTCGGGTTCACAGCTCGCAGTTGCCAGGCGTATCAGTGCAGCGGCGCGTGCAAGAGAAGACTACCGAAGTCGGCGTTCCCCGACCCGCACAATGTCCCGCGCGACGCAAAGAAAGGCACCCTGAAGTGCAACACCTGCAAGTGATGCCGAATCGGGCGCGCGTACTGGGGGGAAAAAGGAAAACGGGGACAGGGGAATGCGGGATGAGGCGGAGGAGACAGGGGAGAAGCATCGAAAATGACGAAGTGAAGCGGGCCAGGTGCACAAGAGGAGGGGGACGAGGAGGAGTGGGCCGAGGAGAGGGTGGGGGAGGAGGAGGAGGAGGAGGAGGAGGGGGACACTGAGATGAGGCTCTGGGGTATGGTCTATGTGTGAGAGGTTCTTGTATGTGTATCGGGGTTTGGCGGCGCGCCTTTCGGGGGCCTCTGGACAGCAGTTTTGCATCCACTGGGGGGCCGAGGTGGAAAAGGCGGGTGAGGAGGAGGAGGAGGGGGACACGGAGGAAATGATCTGGGTCATGGATTATGGGTTCTGAGCCTTGGGAGCGCGAATCCCGCTTGTGTGGTGATCGCTGGGATCTCTTGCGGGGCTTCTCGCGGGACTCTTGGAGGCAGTTTCGAAGCCTGTTGGGGGCCGTTTTGGGGCCGTTTTGAAGCCTCTTGGGGGCCTCTTGGGGCCTCTTGGGGGCGTCTTTGAGGCCTCTTGGGGTCTCTTGTGGCCTTCTACGGCCGTCTTGGGGAGGAAGGCTCGGATTGTCGGTTCGGGCTCCCCCTCTTGGGCCCCTCTTGTGGCCGTCTTGGGGCCCTCTTGGGCCGTCTTGGGAGCCTCTTGAGCTGTCTTGGCGCCCTCTTGGGCCGACTTAGGCGCCTCTTGGGGGCTTCTGAGGCCGTCTTGGGGCGGTCTTGGGGTGCTCTTGGCCCGTCTTCAACACCGTGAGGGCCGACAAGTCGGAAATGACCAAAATGTACGTTTTACCATAGGAATTTGACGATTTTCGGCTCGTCGGCCCTTCTGAGGACTGCTCTTGGAGGCCTCTTGGGCCGTCTTGGAGGCCTCTTGGCTCGTCTTGGGACCATCGTGGGCGTCTTGGAGCGCTCGTTTGGCGTCTCGGGGCCATCGTGGGCCGTTTTGGAGGCCTCTTGGGGCCTTCTTGGCTCGTCTGGAGCCCCTTTTGGGCCCAAAAGAGCCCCGTGAGTCGCTCGTGCCGGGCCGGGGGGGGGGGCCATCAGGGGGGGGTCAAATCTCCGGTTTGGGGTCCCTGGGGGGGGACTATAGGGGAGGGGAACTATCTCACACGCCTAGAGACCCACAAGGGGTCGGCGGATTCGGACCGTCTCGAGCACGGCCCTGCGCCTCGCTGCCGTCCTCGGGGGGCCCGTGCTCGGGCCCCGGGGGCTTTCCCCTCGGGGGCACCTCCCGGGAGGTCCGGCTCAGGATCGGCGCTGGGCCGTGCCTGGTCGACAGCTGGCCCGATCTCGTGGAGTACCGCTTGCTCTGGCTCACTCCCGACGAAGTTCAATGTATCCCCGCTCGACCCCGGGCTCAATCCATCGTGGTCCGGCTCAGTGGCTCCCTCCTCGGGCTTGCTGGCCCCGCGCTGTGACGAAGACCTCCCGGAAACTGCCACCTCAAATCCCCAGTGGGCACGTTTCCCCGAGATGCAGAGTTGTCTTTGGGGAAAAGTCCCCATATGGGGACGCGGAGTGAACAAAATTACATCGGCGAAGGATTGCAACGAATGGTTGCAAAAAAAACCCTTCGTTCAAGCGAGGTTTTTTTTGCAATCCCTCGAAGGGTTTTTTTTGCAATCCTTCGGTTGTTTTGCAATTCTTCGTTTCTTTTGCAATCCTTCGTGTCAGGGATTGGTGCCCCACCCAGCGGTGTCTCCTTGGGCATGCTGCGGGGGGGAAGAGGCAGAGATGCCGAGGACAACGCCGACACCGACGACGACGACACCGACGACGACGACGACGACGACGACGACGACGACCACGCCGACGACGACGACGACGACGACGACGACGACGACGACGACGACGACGACGACCACGCCGACACCGACGACGACGACCACCACGACGTCGACGACGACGACGACCACGAGGATGATTCGGACAACGACGCAACCGACGCCGACGCCGACGACGACCACGACGACAACGACGACGACGACGACGACGACGACGACGACGACGACGGTCAAAGACCGCACGTTGTGCCCTCGCTATTCAGGAGAAGATATGCCGATGCCGCAGCGCGTCCCCCGTCCCCACGGCCAGATCCGCTCCGGATAATCCTGGTCGCAGCGCAAACCCGTGAAGGTGTTCAAGGGGGGCAGCGGCTTCGGCATCCCTCGGATCTTCCGCGTAGTAGCGCGCACGACGGCCGCCAGGGGCCACGATTGGGAACCCCTTTCCGGCACACCGCGCCGCCTGGTCCGCCAGTGGGCCAGCGAGTTCGGCGAGGGAGTCTGGTGTGCGGGCACTCTGGGGACTCACGGCTCGAGACGCTCTGGAAGTTGGCAGGTTTTTGTGCCGAGCATTATGATGCTCCAACCTACTTTAGCCTTGGTCACCAGAAACAATTTCGAGCGCCAGAAAAAGTACCCCAAAAACTCAAGGGTGTTCACGTGCCCGGCCCTGGGAGATACTCGTCCGACACTGTTTCGACACTTTTCTGGTTGCTCGAAATTATTTCTGGAAAGTTGTCTTCAAGTAGGATGGGAACAACATATGCCGAGCCCCTGGCCGACTGGACGGTTCGGTGCTCGTCTCCAGCATCCCCCAGGCGGGGTGTGCGCGCGCGGGCGCTCGCACCGTCGGCCCGCGTGCGCGCGAGTGCGCCCCGGCCCCAGAGGCTCCAGCGGCTCGAAAAAGTCGGTCTGGGCGTTTTCCGCTACTCTGCCTCCGGGGGCCAGTTTTTGGGGGGAAAAACACACAGAAACACAAATGGGCGTCGATTCCCCAGAGAATAATGCAAAATATGGGAAATGTGGGGACGGCGAAAGCCAAGAAAAGATGCACTGATCTGGACAAATAAGGAGAATCTTGGGATGTGTGTCCGTTTGTGTGTGTGCTCCCAGGGCCCCTTCAAGTTTCTTGCTATGCCCCAGCCCACCCTTCCACCCTCCCAGATGATCGCGTCGCAGCGGTGAGGCGGCGCCGCCCGGAGCCCGAGGCATCCACGATGGCGCTGCGGGCCCCCCCGACTCTACGCCTTGGCATCGCTCGGGCGCGTGCCTGGTCTCTCTCGGCGAGGGCCCTCGGCTAGCACGTCGGGCCATCTTGCGAGGAAAAGTGCACGCGCGGAGCCGATGCACGGGGCATGGACGTCCGAGCGGTGGCGAGATACAGTCAACCCGCATAGTAAGGATGGTCGTCTTTCCAATGTTACTCCAGATTTCGTAATAAAGGGAGGGGGGTCTCATTTCGGGGGGGGTCTCTTCCAGGCTATCTTGGAGGGCCTTGGGGGGGTCTGGGGACGATGTTTTGGAGGGTTCTCCCACGGGGGAGGTCTGAAATGGCTTGTCTTGGAGGGTCCAGACCCCCTCCCTTTTGTTACGAAATCTGGAGCATCCTTCCCCTTCAGCCCATCCTTGGCCGTTTGCGCTGGCCGCCCCCCGCTCCCAAGGTGTCGACATGGCCTTCCAAGGCCCCTGCATCGTCATCGTGCGTACTTGAGATACGAGTTGATGGTACTGTTGAAAGTAAATATGTTTGGATGCCCAGATCCCAAGATACTTCAATCGCCTTCCTACTTCCAGAGTAAAAATGTTGTTGCTGTGTTTTGCCACTCTTTGGGCGGGCCCGAACCCAATCTATTTCATCCGTCTTCCTACTTCATGTTTCTACCTGCTTCTTCCGACTGGCGGGTCCGCTGTTTTTATATTCACGCATTGTGCGACGGCCCCGCCAGAGTTGTTCTGCAATTGCCAAGGGACTCTGGACGTTCTTTGGGCTGGTGTCGGTTCGGGGGCGTCTGTGGGAGGTCTCGGGGCCCACCTCTTTGCGCTTTTCTGGTCCAGCTTCGGGTTGTCAGACCTCACGTCTGCGAAGACTGCTGCGCACTGCACTACTGCTGACGTCCTCAAAAGCAAGACCACGATGTGGGAAAGAAGGCCAACGAGTCTGCTGTTATGTAATGCCAATATTGGGCTCTGAAAGTCTGCTGTAACGGAGGCGGATGCCAACATGTATTTCGTGTCCAAGTGTTTGACTACCCGTTTGACCGCCCAGCTTGAGACGCATTTGCAATCGGTTGATAACACCAGGCTTGACACGGTGGAATTGGACCCCGACAGAGCCCTGCCTATGCCAGCGTCCGTTGAACTGCCGCCCTCAGAGCTTGACAATGCGCCACATTCGTAGGAGGATGATGTAGGTGGGGGCGGTGGTGACGCGGGGGAGATTCGGACTGGGCCGATTTGGCCACCGTTGCCTCTTATTTGAAAGTGCATGCCCTGATGCGCTGCGAGATCGAAACTCCCCAGCGTGCGGGTCTTGCCCCTGTCTGCTGCATTCGGTGAAGAGCCTGGGCCCGGCCAGCTTCTGGTGTCCGAGTGCAAGAGGCACCTCAGATCGCCCCAGGTCGAGTCGCAGCTGTAGCGCAACAGGGCTGGCAAGCTCCCCCACGGGCGAGCTACTGCCATGCATCGGGCCTTGAGCTGCTCACGTGGCTTGAGGGGGACCTCTGGGTCCTCCTCCTCCTCCTCCGCCCCCGCAGGGAGGCGCCAGGCCGCTGCCCTTGCCTACCGCGAGGAGGTCCTGCTGGCGCTCGGGCTCTCGAAGGGCGACCTCGGCATGGTCAGGGCTCTCGGCGAGGACGCCAGGAAGGCCCCCCCAGGGACCCCCAAGGACGCTTCGGATTCGGAGGGTGAGGAGGTGCTTCCTAGTTTCGTCCTCGACTTCCGGCCGCTCCACAGCAGCATCTTCCTTCTCCTCCATCCCTTCTCCTCTTTGACGACTCCTCCCTGTCGCACCCCGGGGCCGGTCGAGAGGGCGGGCCGGGCGTTTCGCCAGAGACTTCCTCACCATTTCGGATCCTAAAGCTAGGAATTTGCAAGAGCTTCACAGCTTCACGGATGGAGGGCGGCCCGTTTTCAAAATGTGGTTCTCGCCTCATCGCAGCGAGCATTTGTCTGTTTTATTTGCAAGGGTTTCACGGATTGAAGGCTACCCGATTTCACAATGTAGTTTGTGCTTTAGTGCCGCGCATTTTCGTTTCAAGCATTGAAGGGTTTCACGAATGGAAGGGGCTCCTTTTCAAAATTGGGTTCCGGCCTTAGCGCCGCGCACATTTGATTTAGCATTTCAAGAGCTTCACGGATGAATGGCGGCCCGTTTTCAATTTTCGTATCTCGCTTTAACCCGCGCGCATTCGTGTTCAAATAGTTGCAAGGGTTTTATGGATGGAGGGCGTTTTCTCTCCCAACTGTGGTTCTCGCTTTGATGCCGCGCGCATTTGCCTCAAGAGTTTGCAGCGGTTCCGAATATTCCTTCCCCTGGCTGATGTATTAGAATCGGTGTTACATCACATTGTCGGAATGCTTCACTTAGGGGAAGTGAATGAATCCATGCAGGGGGACTCTGGAGAAGGAACTGGTCTTTGGTTAACACTGGTCCTCCTCCTCCCCCTCCTCCTCCTCCACCTCCTCCTCCTCCTCCTCCTCCTCCTCCCCCTCCTCCTCCCCCTCCTCCTCCTCCCCCTCCGCCTCCTCCTCCTGCCCCTCGCGCGCGCGCGGGAGCGCGTGCCCGTTCGCCTCTGCCCGTGCCTCCCAAAGGCGGGCCCCGCAAGGCCCCTCCGCGGCGCGCTGCCCCCCTTGGTCTGCGCGGCGGGCCGCTCGGCGGCCTTGCGCCATGGGCCAGTGCGGGGGCAGCGCTCCCAGGGCGCGCCCCGCCGCCCCGCCTTGGGATGAAGATTGCGGGAGGAGGAGGAGGAGGCGGAGGAGGAGGAGGAGGAAAAGGAGCAGGAGGAGTCGTCGTCGTCGTCGCACCCATTCGAGCTCAAGTTCGTCTGCTGGCAACTGACCGCTGCTACGCTCTGGGCCACGGCTGTTTCGCCTGAACTCTGAAAAGGGGACTCACGTTTCCGAGCCAGCCCAAGACACGCAAGATTACTTCTGGACGGGGGCGGAAACGGTGGAACGGCGTCCAGCCCCTGGCCGGTACGCCCCACGCGGGGCGGGCATTCTTTTCAGTGGGCTAGGCAGGTCTACCATCGACCACAGCAGAGTGGGCGCACACACAACTCCCACCCTACGGCAGTGCAAAGGCAGTCCCCCTTGCCCGTCTCTACCGAAAGCACAACTGTCTATTAACCTAGCTTCACCTGGCGCACGAGCTTACCCCTGGGAGCACGGCCAGCTTTGTTGTTAAAGCCTGCGGCTCGGAAGATTCGATACAGAGCCTGCTCTACTGCGATCACTTTCCCGTGTCCTAGCTGGGCGAACTCGAGCGGACTCCGAATGACTCGAACCTCTGCCCTGCGCTTGTCTCCCTCTTCCGCGTCCTTGTCCTCTAGAACCTTCCACTGACTCTCCTGCTCCTCGTAAGCGTTGGGTCCTGCCTGGTTGGGGTCTGGCAGCGTGATATAGCCCAGGACCTTGACCGTAATCCTCGAGATGCTGCTGTCTGCCGTCGAGCTGGTTCCGCACTCCTTGATACACGTGCTGGCCTGCTCCTGATCTTCCTTCATCATCATCAACAGAAGCCTCCGAGGGATGTCTGCCAACTCCTTCACCGAGTCCTGGGCCTTGCCTGGCTTGTCGAGCCAACTGTTGAAAGCGCTGAGAAGTGCGGCAACATTCTGCAATTCGGGCGGACCGAGCCCGTGTGTGTTGTTCTTGCCCTCGACCTTCTTCTGGTACTCCTGGTAGGTCTGCTTCAGCGTGTCCACGAACAGGTCGTCGCTCGGTCCGTACACCACCAGGCCCGCTCCGAACTCCAGTGTGCGCACCCGCGATTCCAGCTGTCGAAGCAGGCGAGCGTTCACGTGGGAGTCCTCGACGCCCTTGCCCGAGCCCTTGCGCGCCTTGTTGCTGTCTCCCTCTGCGTTGGCCTCCGTTGCGACCCGCTTGAGAGCGCTCGGCATGAGCCACTGGACCTCCATGGAGCAACTCGAGATCTTCCAGCAGACCAGGCAGCTCGAAATCCAAACAATGATCCGCCAGGTGCTCCTGCAGATGCTCGGACAAAATGTGTCTACGGAGCTCATCATTGTCGCCCCCCTCGAAGTCATCGCAGGCTGGGCAAGCATAGGACGAGGGCTGAATGATCTGTCCGTCAGTGCGCCCTCGGTCTACACAGCATAGGCCCGTGCTGAGGCTCTTGTGCATGTTTCTTTTTGCATAGTCAATCGAAGAGAAATTCGAGCCACAGATCACGCACTGACTGGATACACAGCAGAGTCTCCCAAGAAGTTGCTTTCCGTGAGTGCCTCCCTTGGTTCTCAGATAGTGGGCCGCCAACTGTTTTTTTGTCATGAAGCGTTCAGTACAGGGCTCTCCATCGGCTCGAAGGGCCTTGCATTGGTGGGGTCCTCCACTCTCGATCTCCTCCTGCCTCCTCTCGTGCTGTGCGATGTTGAGGAAATAGTGCGACACGATCCCTCCCACATCCAATTGAACGAACTCCTCCCTCCCCTCGAATAATATCCCCTCCAACCCATAGATCTCCATCAACCTCGCCCCGTCATCGAAGAGTTCGATCGCTCGTATGTCGTCGCAGAACTGTTCGCACCACGGGTTCGCCTTCGCGTCGTTGCTCATATACTTTTCGAGCTCGGTCAAATCCTCGTCCCGAGAGCACCCGAAAACGACCGCAAGAAATTGAGCACACCGTGGGGCCTCGCGTAGACAAGCTTGGAGCCATCGGAGCCTTCGAACTCTCATTTCCACATGTGGGGCTGCGAGGCGCACTTTTGCAAGGGCCTGTAGGTTGGTGAGGGTGCGAACGGAGCCGCCCTCCCGCCACTGAGCTGTGCCTCGCAGCAGGATCCGAGCACGCATAGCAAGAAAGCGAAGAATGGGTTGCCAATCATGCGGACGCATGGGGCCCGCTCGAGCACACAGGACCTCCGCTCCACTGTAACACGCATTGGCCACATACCCTTTGAGCATGTTGATCTTCCAACCAAGAGACACTGCACTCTGCCAAAACTTAGAGAGATTATACCAGGCGGTGCGCCCAGCATGTAGTCTGTACCCTATCTCACACAATGCAAACCTCGAATGAATGCGCGGGCCCAAGTATCGTGCACACACTGTCGTACGCCCAGCAAGCTCCTGATCTCTGAG